TATTGCCAGCATTGGAAGTCAGTACGAGTAGGCCCCTCGGGTCCTAGTCACTGCCGCCCTCTTCCCTGGGCCTGGGCCGGAAAGAATCTTCCCCGTAGTTCTCCAGCTCACTCAGGTGAGTGGAAGAGACCTGTGGCATTGCAGTAAAGAGCCAGGCCCCTTGCTGGAAGGGTCACTGTACCACTGTGCCCTGGACCCCTGCGTGACTGACTGGCACCTGCTATGTGTGAGCTCTGCTCAAGCCCAGCTCTTCTGCAGATGCTTTGGTCATCAGTCCTTGGGTGTCTGATGAGTTAGAAAAGCCAGCCCAGGAGCAGCAGTGCCAGCTAGCTGCAGTGATTATTTTGTTATCATTTTTTTCTTACTCAAAGCATATCATACTGTAGAGAGAAAAAAAAAGAAAAAAGTTTGTATGGCTAGGGAGGCGCCTTAATCCAAAGTCCTGGGTTGTGTGATTTATTCTGTGTGCCTGGACACTGGTAATGGGCTCTGTGACATAGAAGAGAAACTATAGATTAAAGGTTTAAAAGTAGATTATGCCAGGCATGGTGGTGGCCTGTGCCTGTAATCCCAGCACTTGGAAGGCTGAGGCAGAAGAATCACCATGGGTTGGAGGCCAGCCTGAAGTATGTGGCAGGACTGTCTGGAAAAAGAGCAAAAAAACAAAACAAAAAAGGTGGGTTGTACTGCATGGCAGAGGTCACTGGCTTTCAGGGTCACACTTTCCTTTTATCCTTGATGCAGCCCCAAGGGTTGTGGGACTCGGTGGGCTGGGCATGATGTGAGCGCTTGAGTGGGTCTAATCAGGTTTTATGTGCAAGAACAGATGACCATGGTTCTGGCTGCATAGGGCTGAGATGGGCTTGGGTCACTATGTGCCCAGCTGCCATCCCAGGGGGACTTAGTCATTGAGGCTGGACCTGCAGGTGCTGGAGGAGGGGAGAGCCACCTAGTGGCTTCTTGGGGCATTTTTGAGAGATGGACAGCCACGCTCTGGACCTTGCCGGTTTCTGCTTCCAGAGCAAGGACTTGTGGCTGCAAAGGCCTGTGGTGTCCGATCATCTCTTCTTCCAGGAGGATGGAGCACCGGGGTGTGCTGTCCTGGCTCATCTGCTTCCAGAGTTGAGAGCATGCTCTTGGGCCTTGTGGAGAAGCTCCATGAAGGCAGGAACACCTGGGAACGTCTGCCAGACACTTGCACAACCATCTTCTGAGTCCCTATACTTGCACAGAACGTGGTGGGCAGTGGGGGCAGGCCCTGTCCCAAGTGTCACTGCAGAGCAGCCTTCTCTCCACATGCTCAGGCATGAGCCTAACTCCTCCTGCAGAGATCTGCCACTGCTGCCTTGAGTAGGAGTCAGTGTAATGGGGGGAAGAGTTAGGTTGGAGTTGGTTAGGCCAGGTTCTGGTTTTAGGTAGTAGGTGTGTGATGAACCTCTGGAAAGAAACATGTGCAGCTCTCTTTCTGACTGCAGGTGACATCTGTGTGAAGTGATGCTACAGCAGATATCATATGTGACAGGAGAACCTTGGATCTCTTCTGCCATTAGCTATACATGAAAATTAATAAAATTAATTTTTATTAGAATTGTAAAAACACTTAAAAATAGTGAAGAAAACATTCAATTAACAAATTTCACTCTCTATATATTATGTGTTTGTGTTTTGTTTTTGTTTTGAGATAGGCCTCGGTATATACAGTTCAGGCTGACCTTAAACTCATCATGTAACCCAGGCTGACTTCAAGCTCACAGTGACCCTCCTGCCTCAGCCTCCTGAGTGCTAGGATTACAGACCTGTTCCACCATACCTAACATTTATTTTTTGTTTGTTTGTTTGTTTGTTTTGTTTTGAGACAGGATTTCTATTCAGGCTGCCAGGATTGCAGCAATCCTGCCTTCATCCTCAAGTGCTGGGATTATAGGCATGTGTCACTATACCTGGCTTCCCCATTGTTAAAGTGTAGAATTCAGCAGAGTTTTTGTTTTTGGAGAGTAAGAGGTTACAGTGTTTACTGGGTTTCAAGCCAGGTCCTTATGCATGCTAGGCAAGAGCTGTACCAATGAGCAACAGCTGTAGCCCTTTTTACTTTTGTTTTTGAACTTAGGATCTCACTATGTAGCCCAGCCTGGCCTTGAACTCATGGTGATCCTCCTGCCTCAGCATACTGAGTCCTGGGAGTACAAGTATAGGCCACAATGCCTGACTTGGTTTGATTTTTAAAATTTTTTTTCTGACTACATAATAACTATGTATGGTGGTTTTTTTGTTTGTTTGTTTGTTTTGTTTTTTGTACCAGGGATTGAACTCATGACCTTGTACCTGCTAACTGAGCCACTGAGCTAAATCCCTATGTTCTTTTTTGGAGTGTTCGTGAGACAAGGTTTTGCTGTGTAACTCAAGCTGGCCTTGAACTCATGGTGATCTTTTTGCCTCAGCCTCTGGAGAGCTGGAATTACAGGCATATGCCACCACCCCTGGCCAAAATGAGTTCTTGTTGTAGACTTAAACATCCCACAAAACTTCCTTCAAAACCAAATTTCACTCAGGAGGCTGAGGCAGAATTGCTGCGAGTTCAGGGTCTACCTAGATTAGCTAATGGGAGTCCAAGGCCAGCCTGAACTAACAGCAAGACCCTGTCTCAAAAACATCAAAAAAACAACTAATTTTCAGTGAGAGGCAAGAGTTCCCTGTGTGAGGCAGTGCTCTCAGTAGTGGAGACCTTGACTCTGACCTGGCTGGCATCATAAAGGGGCCTACGCCTAAGGGCCAGTGTCATGGCTTCTTCAGCAATGCCTGTCCTGTCCCCAGACACAGTCAGTCACACAGTCAGTCTTAAGCATCTGTCCACATGCAGGCAAGGAACACATACAAGGAGCATCTTGCCAGAGGTTGCTAGTAAGAGGAAAGTACAAATATAGTAGTTTTCTCTGTTCTGGGTTTTTCAAGGCCATGTAATCAGAATTTACTGGTGGAAGAGTGTTAGAAACTGAGGCATATATTGCAAGCCTGGTGTGGTGGTCCACACTGCCACAGAGGCGGCTGAGGCAGGATTATAAATTCAAAGCCAGTCTAAGCAACTTAGACCATGATCCCAAAAAATAGAATGTGAGGTGTAGCTCAGCAGTAGGGCACTTGCCTAGTAAGTATGAGGCCCTAGTTCAGCCCCTAGTGCTGAAGCAAAATACACACATACACAAAACAGTGGAGAAAGATGTATGACAGAGAAGAAAACCAGTGTGTAAGCTTAAAAACCACATTTTAGTAGTTTTCCAGTGGATTTTATTATCTTATTACCTGTTGTATATTTTAAAAAGTCACATGCTTGTATGAGAGAAATGAACTACAATAGTTCAAAATATCTGTGCAGATTATTAATCAAATCATTTAAACATGAAGTAACCAAAATAGTAGCATAAAGGAAATTCAGACTGATAGGACTGCCTGGCTTTCTTTTTTTTTTTTTTTTTTTTGGTCTTTTTTCTTTTTATCGGTACCGGGGATCGAACTCACGACTGCCTGCTTTCAAGGCAGGCGCTTATGCCGCTGAGCTAAATCCCCAGCCCCTGCCTGGCTTTCTTAACACATTTATTGCCTGCTATACTCTGCTAACAGTTCTAGCAGCGCTCTGCATTATTTATAGCATACCAGTGGAGAATCAGTTTCTGTCTTCATCCTACAGAAAAGAAAACTGAGCACAAAAAAACGAAGTAACAGGCTGAGGTGGCAGAGGTTGGGTTCATATGTGCACTCCTGGAGCGGCAATGAGGCTCCTCTTTGTGGGTGGCAAGGCCCACGGCTGTGCTGAACTTCTGGGATCCCTTGGGAGGTACTTGGTGCCCTGCTGTCCCTGAGGGAGAGCCAGCAGGGTCTAGGAAAGGCAGCCTGGGTGTGCCCAGGGAAGAGAGCTGTGGCCCCTGTGTTGTCAGGTGACCACAGTGCTCTTGTGTTGTAGTCAGAAGTTGCAAGTACAGTTACAAGACACAGAATTTATAGTATTATTTTATGATGGTCGCTCAGAGTTAAATACAAGAAAGTTTAGGAAAGCTGTCCACAGCACTAAAGACCTGGATAATCCAGCAGGGCCTGGACCCCACAGCAATGTCCTGCATGAGTCCAGATGAAGACCTAGAGCCCATGACAGTACCTCCCACAAATCCAACTAGCGGGCTAAAGTCCATGATGAAGACTCCTGCAAGTGTGTTTCACAGATCTGTGCTGGGAAGGCCCAAAGGTTGGTGGTGGGAGCTAGAAAGTCTGTGCCATCAAGGTAAAAGATCTGAGCAAGTAGGTTGAGGGTTTTGCACTCTAGTCAAGAAGCAATGCTCAAAATAAGGACCAGAGCTCCCCCGAAAAGTATGGCAGCCATCCTCAGTAACTAAGGTCCCGAGCTTCTCTGATGATGAGAACAGCTGAGTACATAATCAGGAAGCCAGCGTGACAAGCTTCTCCTGGAGATTAAACAGCATGCATCTTCCCCTCCTGAGCCAGGAAGAGATGCTCCAAGTAAAGACCAGAACTCCCCTAATAGGAATCACAGCCACTCTCGGCGACAAGGTCCTGAGCTCCTCCGATGATAATGACAATTCATATCAGGGAAGCCAGATGACAAGCTCCTGTAGGGGAGCCAACAGCTCCAAACAACAACACTTAGAACCCACAGTATCCCACTGTTCCACTCCACCTCTCCTTTTATTCTGGCAACTTTAATCCTCAGGTGGGCCATCTATGCTCAGCACCATGACAGTTGAATTGAGCTGGTATTAAGTTGACCACCAGTTTTAATCCATGACATCTAATGACAGGGACTTGGAAGTTACCCTCTGAGGGCAAAGAGAAAGGAGGAGGGGCTCGGGGCTCAAGTTCAGAGCCCTCTGTTGGGGATGGGTAGGGCCCAGGCTGTCCAGAGCTGGAGGAGGTGGGTTGGGTGGCCTTTGGTGGCTATGACTCATGTGTGAAGGGTGGCTCTCTAGGTAACTATATCTTTTTGTTTGTTTTAGTCCTGGGATATTTTTTTTCGCAACACCAATGCTGGAGCACCCCCGGGTGCTGCATACCAGAGCCCTCTGACCCTGAGCCGAGGCTCCCTGGCCACTGCAGCCCGCACACAATCCTTGGTAGAGGCCCAGCCCAATGTAGACAAGCTTGTGGAGGACCATCTGGCAGTGCAGTCACTCATCAGGGCGTACCAGGTAAGCAGGGTCTGATACCATCAGGATGGGGGGACACTGTCCTGAGGCTCTCTGAGTGTGTGATGCCATTTAACTCTACCTCCTCCAAAACCAGGTTCTTCCATCCTGCTTCAGGGTCCCAAAGAAGCAAAGCCCAAGTACACAGGAGAAAAAGAGCTAGGCTAACCATATTTGAGCAAATCCTCTCCCACTTTTAGTACCTGCCTCCTAGCCGGGCATGGTGGCTCATGCCTGTAATCCCAGCACTTGGGAGGCTGAGGTGGGAGGATCGTTGCGAGTTCGAGACCAGCCTGGGTTACAAAGTGAGTTCAAGGCCAGCCTGAACTGCACAGCGAGACCCTGTCTCAAAAAAAAAAAAAAAAAAAAAAAAAGTACCTGCCTCCTAGTAATGCCTTATGACGTTTTACAGATTTACAGAAAGATGCGTGGGCAGGGAAACCAAGCTATTACTTAAGCATCAAGGACATTGCTGACCACCTGCTAAACACAGTGGCAGGGCTATTGGGCAGGTGGATGCCCTCTTGTTATTTGCTAACTGAATACTGAAAGAAGTGAAATGTGAAGAGTTTAGAAACACCAGAAGCAGGGTGGGGTTTGGAGGGTGTTAGCCTGCAGAGTGGGTGAAGGGCAGGGACCTCGAAGAGGGATCCAGGTAGTAGCCTGCCACAGCAGGCCTGTCACAAGGAGCCAGACTTTTGCTCTGTGTCACTCCTTTGAGTACAGCACCCAGAAGTCTTGTAGCATGTTCGTCCCATGTTGGGAGCACCGAGAGTTGAGACCTTAAAACTCAGTCTGCACACGGTTGCAAGGAGGAGCTGTGCAGCAAAGCAAGTTTGGTGCCTCCCTGCTGGACGCTGCGTGGGTGGGAGTCAGGCCACCCTGCTGGCAGCAGCCAGGCTCCCATGCCCCAGGCTCTCTTCTACCTCCTGCCTGTTTCATGGCTTGGCCATGCAGATGCTCATGGGGCTATGCTGCAAGACATGACATGCTGTCCAGCGGGGCTGCAGAGGAGGGACTGTGGGTCCCCTGGTAGCCAAGGCACCGCCCACAGCGGGTTTTTTCCTAGGTGAGACTTGTGGCTCACCCAGCCTGAGCCCAGGCATAGTGGGCCTTAGTGATTCTTTTGCTTTTTAGTGACTTCTTAGCACTGCTAACAAGAAATTATGGTGAAAATATCCAAAACCAAAAGGAACTTAAATTTGAAAGTGATGGTTGGGTGTGGTGGCATATGCCTGTGATCCTAGCATTTGGGAGGCTGAGGCAGGAGGATTGCCATGAGTTGAAGGCCAGTTTAGGATACATAGCAATGGAGCTGGGGATTTAGCTCAGCGACATAAGCGCCTGCCTTGTAAGTGTTTGGTCGTGAGTTCGATCCCTGGTACCGATAAAAATGAAAAAGGCCAAAAAAAAAAAGGTATGCATAACGAATTCAAGGCTGGTCTGAACTACATGGTGAGACCCTGTCTCCAAAAAAAAAAAAGGGATTTTGTGTTTCCCTTTTTTGGTTTATTGTTTTTGTGGTGCTGGGGATCAAACCCAGGCTTCACACTTCACATACTAGACATGTGTCCTGCCCCATGCTGGCCTCCTGTGTGCACCCTGAGGGCCAGAGCCCTCCTTGTGGATATGCCAAAAGCTCTGCCTCACTGGCCACAGCCATGCCCAATCCTGCCCTGTCCTCGGAGACATGGCACTAGGCTAAAGAAGGCCCTCAGGTGTACCACTTCCCCAGCCATGTCACTTCTAGTCAGCCGAGGGCACTGTGAGGAGTCGGGGCAGACCGATACTGATTCTCCAGGTTTATCATCCCTGAGGTGTTTATTCAAGTGTTTCCACACAATAGTGCTCGTAAGATAAACCGGCCCAAGGCTGACCTGAGGGTTCCCTGGTGCCAGGTTCCTCTCTGGGAAAGCTTTGCATGAGTGTAACTCTTACCCTCCCCCAGTGCAGCAGATCCACTTAATGACTCGCTTGTGTTGTTATTCCAGGTCAGGGGTCACCACATTGCAAAGCTTGATCCTCTCGGCATTAGTTGTGTAAATTTTGATGATGCTCCGGTAACTGTTTCTTCAAACGTGGGTGAGAATGAATCTGTAAATGCTAATTTTAATGTAATTTTGCTTTTTTTTTTTTTTACCCTTCCCTCTTTTTTTTCTCCTGTCCTTTTGTGTGTGTCCTTCCCTCTCATCGTTGGCCCACTCATAGATACGAGGGCACCATGTAGCACAGCTGGACCCCCTGGGGATTTTGGATGCTGATCTGGATTCCTCCGTGCCCGCTGACATTATCTCATCCACAGACAAACTTGGTGAGGGTCTGAGAGCAGTCAGCTACGTGCTTGAGCTCCTCTCACTGTGCGGTAGCCAAGACGTCCATGCAGGAAGGAAAGGCTCTTAAGTTTCCTTCGTTCTGATCACTTGAAATTTATCAGGAATGCAGTGTTAGTGTGTTTCAGCCAGATTGTCCAAGTCTCAATCTGGGAAGTAAAATTTCCAATGGGAAAGCGTGTAGCACAAGAGAGAAGCTGGCCCACCCAGGGCAAGGGAGTCACAAGCTGCTCCAGAGAAAGCTCTTCTGGTGCCAGCTTTCTGTACAGGGAGCTGCTTCCCTGAGCTTCTGGTTCTGAGAAGGGATAGGGCCTGGGAGCAGCTCCTGTCCCTAAGGGCAAATCGAAGGGTGAGGCATGCAGTTTGGCTCTCCTGATTCGAAAATGGTGGTGATCACACCAAGGAAACTTCGGACAGCGTTCCTGCAGCGTCAGGAGGCCAGGGCCTTTGGGAGGTGCATGTGTGGAGCACACAGGGGTTTTGGTCACGGTGGCCAGAAGATAGGCCCGCCACACCCCAGCCTCCTCAGAGGTGGCTGAGTGGGTGTCAGGCTGGCACTCTCCTGCAGTTGCTTCCAGAGTTAATCTGCTTCTGTCACCGTGCTGCTAACCCTACTAAAGAAATGACAGCGTGACTAATTGTGACATGCCATGGCTTCACACAGGCGCTGTGCATGCTCATGATGTTGATGATCACCTCCTTGCTAATATTGCTGTTGGGGAAGGGAAAAATTAGCTTCCTTGAAGACACTTTAGGGAAGCCTGCCAAGAAGTGGCTCCCACAGTTGTTGGTTGAGTTGTGACTCTGGATCCCAATAATCAAGTGATGTTAGACATCACATGGTGTTAATTCTGGAATCGATGTTAGCGATTCGTAACTGCTCTTTAGCCTTGATTTCAGGGAGACCCCTAAACAATAAGGCTTCTTCTGCACTGTACCAGCCCAGTAGCAGGTTTAGGGAGTGATAGGAAAGGCTGCTGTCACACCCCACTGGTCTGTGCAGAAGACTTCTGTGTCCTCCAGAGGCGTGACAACCCTCTCCCTCTCCCTGCCCCGACAAGCATCAGCCGTGTGCCCAGCGCCAGCCACTGACTGGGCAGCCATGGAGGGGGCTCCCACAACACCCTCCTCAGGTTTGCTTAGTTTGCTAGAGCAGCACACAGACTTGGAGAATTTTCCCAATTTAATATAAGGGATATTTTCCCTGATACAAGTGAGTAGCCATGTGAAGAGGTACCTAGGGTAAGGTCTTAGAAGGGTTCTGAGACACTGGGGTTTTCATCCTTGCTCAGTGGCGTGCATTGCATCTTGCCCATGGGTCACTTCTCCTCCTGTGAGCTGCTGCCCAGACACTCTCTGAGGGTGTCACAGAGGCCACTGTGCAGGGTCCAGGCTGGTGCTGACAGTGGGGCACCCAGCCAGGCCTGTTGGTGAGCTGCTCTGCATTCCTACTTTGTGGGTGGGGACCAGAGCCTGTCTGAAAGGGGAGTTACATCCTCTGTTAGGTGGATAGATCAGAGAATGTCTTTATGGCCATCTCCAAAACAGACAAGGAAAGAGGAGCATTTCTACGGCCTGCCCTGGGGAGGGAATTAGGAGGCTGGAACCTGGGACAAAACCAAAAATATGAATCACGATATCCCAGGATGAGTGGAGACCTTTCAGGCCTTACTGAGTAGAACCTCTTCAGGCTGCAAACTGAGCCCTGCCATGTTGTTTACTGGTGAGAGTTTCGTGTTCTCCGCAAGTGTGACAGAAGTGAGTCTCATGAGTCTTGGAGCCCCTTTCCTGCATTCACCATGCAATGTAGAAGAAGAAACCCTTGCACATCACCGCTAGGGCCCAACACCCCTCCACTGACTGTCCCTGCAGTGCAGTGACTGTTTACAGAGCCTTTCAGCCCCTCTGGGTGCCAAGGAGCCGAGGACCTGCTGGGAGCCGAAGCTGTGTCTCACACAGCACCAGCAGTGCTGTTTTCTGTGCACAGCTAAACAGTGATGTTGTGTCCTACAGTACTGGGCATTGGACCCAGGGCCAATAGGTGTTCTGCTACTAAGCTACACCCACTGTCTCCCACTGGCCTTTTTTTTTTTTTTTTTTTTTTTTTTTGAGACAAGGTCTGGCTAGGTGTCCCAGGGGGGGCTTGACCTTGCAATTCTGTCTCAGCCTCTCAGGTAGTAGGATGACAGGTGGGTGCTGTATTATATGGCAGAGCATTTGACCAGAGAAGAACAGGTAACCCTTGGCTGTGCACCATCCCAGCTCCATGTCCCACCTGCACCATAGGGCCAGTTTCTCAGTGTCTTGTCTTTGAAACGGGGTCTCTCTATGCAGTTCAGGATGGCCTTGAGCTCACTTTGTAGCCTAGGCTGGTCTCAAATTCTGTGTCTTAAGATGAGCCTCTCTCTCGGTGGTTTTCAGCTTGAAGAGCCCTAAAGCTGTTCTGTCTACTTGATACTGCAGATGAAGGCGACCTGGAGGTGGCATCCCTCGGTGTCGCCAGCCCATCATAGTCTTTTTTTTTTTTTTTTTTTTGTCTTTTTCCTTTTTATCAGTACTGGGGATCGAACTCACGACTGCCTGTTTGCAAGGCAGGCGCTTGTGCCGCTGAGCTAAATCCCCAGCCCCCTCATCATAGTCTTCAACCCTGAGATCCCTGAGGGTTTTGGACAGGGCCAGCCTCTGAGTACCTGTCTCACTCGGGCCAGACAGCTGTCCTGCCTCATCCTCCTTGGAGGCCGTTCTGGGCCTCTCCCGCTGTCTCCGCTGCGATGTACCGGTGTTGTGAGGTTTGCGGTTGCAGATCAGCAATGACATGTTGAAGGCCAGAGGGCCAGGGTGCCTTATGACTCGGTTCTTCTTCTTTTTGGGGGGAGGGAGGCCAGGAATCAAACTCAGGACCTTGCACTTGCCAGGCAGGTGCTGTGCCACTGAGCTGTATCCTCGACCTCCAGGGTGCTTTCTGAACTGAGGCTAGAAGGCCCAGAGGTAGCCCCCAGCCTTCTGGAGCCCTTTGAGAACTCTGCCCAGTGCACATTCTAGTCCCAGTGTAAGCCAGGAGCCGTCCCTCTGGTCAGGGAAGGTACCTTGGAGTCTCATGAATTTGAAATAGTGTGATATAAAAGTCACAGCTGCTTCAGGTATGAAAGACAGCACTTGTGCGAGTCATGGATCATCTGAATGTGGAGGCGTGTCTATCTCAGCCCCTCTGTGCCACATGTGAAGGCCTGAGCTGTGTGTTAGACTGTTCCTGGGGCTGTGCACCCAGACCAGCCTCTCTGTGGGCCAGGGTCCCTGATCTGCCACCCCCAGCTGTGTGAGCTCAAGTGATTGCTTCACATCTCCACCCTGTCACCTCTTCTGTGTCGGTGTCACCACAGAGAACTGAGCTCTTTAGGATGTTGCCTGAGTGAGGACCAATGTGTGTTGAGATGCCCCGGCAGCATGCGCTGGCAGCAAGATGCCGTGAGCCCTGAGAGGTCAGGATTACAGGGGAGCCCAAGCTGCAGGAGCCTGACTAGGAAGTGAAGACCATGTGGGGAGGGGAGGGGAGCTGCAGGGGGTGCTCTGCCCTGCTGTCCAGGGAGAATGGGGTATGGTAAGGGGCCACACCTGATCAGGGAGCCTGCAGGGGAACCGGATGGGTTTTTGGTCTCCTGGGGCTGCTGTGTCGGGTAATGCAGCACGTGTGATGGCAGGAAACATAGGGGTCTCAGGTTGGGGTGCCAGGTTAAGGACTACTGTCTATTGCAGAATGATAGGTTTGGACTGCTGTCACACATGGAAGTGGCTAGGCCATGAGTCCAGAAAGTCCTTGCCATTTTGTCATACTGCTTGCTTCAGTTGACTGGGGGACTGGGGGTGTACTGCAGGGTTGCCTTAGTGCTCTCATCATAGGCTGCCTTTTCCCAGTGTAGTCGAGCAGTTAGTATTGGCATTCTATCCTGTTCCTTTGTGCCTCGGTATCTTCTTTGTACTGCAGTATTAGATCCCCACTTAGAAGTGGCATCTTGTGGCTTCTACATAAATTTTATAATAGAACTTTGTAGAGACAAAAGGAACATGTTTTTCTTAAGGGGAGATTTTTTCAGTGTAAGATTTAAGCTTGTTAAAGGGGAATCCAAGATAACAAGTGTGAGGGAGGCAAAACTTCCCACCTGTGCACTACTGTTTCCAAACACCTAATGACAGTTTTACATAGTGAACTTGACTTAAGTAAAAGTTGATGGGAAATGTCTCCAAAAGTGTGGCAGGGTTTCAGCTCCTTAGGTGAGTTAGCGTCTGGATCTGTCACAAAAGACCAATGAGGAACACAGTAAGTACTTCCCTACTTCTGATCTCCTGGGCTCTCTGGCTTCTGCCTCGGAGTCCAAGAAAAGCGAGCTAAGGGTCAAGTTGATTTCTAAGCCAGGGTGACTGTGGCTCATTAGTTGGTGCAGCCTCTGGCTCTGGGCGGCATCAGCCGAGCGTGGCTGGGTCCCACGTGGTGGGGCTGCATCACAACAGACACTCCTGACGGTAATGAGGCTCTTTGACAGAAGACCTGGGGACTTAACATGCGCATCACACCAGCTCCCAGCGTTGTCTCCTGCCCCTTGTCAGCTGTGCATCTTAGGGTTATTGCTCCCCAGTAATTGCTAGAAATGCACTGAGAACTCAGGTGCTGGGAAGTCTGTGCTTCCAGTAATTGACAACCAGGGTACCTTCCACTTTCCACTCTCTGTGGTTGGTGTCTTTTATTTATTTTTTATTTTAAACATAAGGAAAGTACAGGTAGAAATAATTATCCCTATTCCCAGTACCCAGACTGTGACGTCATCCCCGTAGCCTCTGCTGCTGACAGGGGTGAGCATCTTTGTTTCCTCTGAGCTTCCCTGTGCCCCCCTCCCTGGGCTCCAGGATGGACTCGCACCTTGGAGTTGGAGCTCCTGTGGCGGTCGAGTGTACTCTCCTGCCTTGACCTAAAGACGGAGGAGGAAAGTGTCTTCATTCTTGCCCTCAGTGTCACATGGACACTTTATGCAGGACTTGGATGTTCCACGCCTTAACGAGTGACTGGGCACCGTTCCTCATCCCCAGGGAAGGGTACCACCTTGCCCAGCGTGCCTCGTCCTCGAGAGTGAGCCTGCCCCGTGGTTCTCCTGAATCAGGACTCAAACCATCAAGATGAAAGGAAGCTGGCTTTTCTCAGACCCGGGGCAGGAAGCATCTGCAGTGACAGTGACCATGGCTCTAGCTGCTCCCTGCTCAGTCCCTGTGTGCCTCTGTACTTACTACCTGCCTTCCTGATTCTTGGCTTCCAGCCAGCTATCTAAGGAGCGGTCCGGAGCGAGGACTTGTGTCACATGAATGTTTTGGTCTCTAAGACAGGAGAACCTCTGGACAGGGCAGCCCTATCCAGTGCATGGCCCGCTTGCCAGTAGCTGCGTATCACCTGCGTGTCTTGGGATGCTTGGGAAGCGTCCAAGCACTTGTGTTCCAGTTTTGCCATCTTTGAGGGAAGCCTAGGAGTCCTCCTTCCATTCAGTATCATCCAGACTACTGGCTGAATGCTGTCCAAGTCAGGCTTTCCAGTTTCCTTTCCTCAGTTTTCCATCCTACAGTGATGTAGATTGGGCCTCTGTGACTGACTGCCCAGGGAGCAGTCCCATCCCCCCTCTGTGGAGGCTGTGAGGAGACCACAGTCGCCTCACTCCAGCTGTTCTACGAGCACATGCATGTCCCCCACATGGCTGTCCGTGGCCATCCCTGCCCCTCGCCATCCCTTCTCCGTGTGTGTCCTCGTGCCGTGTCTGTGCTGCCTGTCACTGTGGTGATGCCCCGGGTTCCAGCCTGTGTTTTGAACTAACTCTCAACCTGTCTTTTTCCTTCTGCGCTCACCCACGCTACCCCACCCTGCCTCTCAGATCTTGCTGTTTTCAAGGAACGACTTCGAATGCTAACAGTAGGAGGTATGGAAATAATGAGCCTTTTCCTTTTTGGAGTCTAGGACTTCATCTAAATAGGATGCACAGCTTTTCCTAGCATGGGATCTAGGGATAGTTGAAACAGCTTCTGTCACTGTTTTCAAGTTACCTGTTGGCATATCCATTTCCCTCTCATGTAGTTACTAATCCCTGCACGGCACTGTGTTCCCGGGGCCCTTCCCTTTCTGCCTGTGTCCTGAGAGGGCATGGTCCTCTTCCCCACCCTGGCCATCACTGAGCCAAGCCTCCCCCAACATAGTTTGTCACCAGCTCCTGCCAGGCTGAGGCCGTGGCAGTGCTGCGTGGTGGCTTCTCCTATCTCCAGACGGTCGTGGCTTTGACTGACTGTGGATTCTTCTGGGTCATGCTGCCTGAGACACTGGATGATATTTATACAGTGTTCCGTGTCAGAAAGATGATTGGAATATTAATAACGGGCATCTGGGAGCTTCATGAGTTGACTCAGGCAACAACACCCCGAGGAATCCAGAGTCAAGGTGCTGGGGTGTTGCCTGCTGTCATCTCTTTCCATCCCCTGTGCCGGCAGCCAGGTTCTTCACTTCTGGCTTCTCAGACTTTCTCTCGCTGCCCTGTTTAACTCACAGGGTCTGCGAGGCTGTGCTTTGTGTGTGTGCTCCTGAGATGGAACCCAGGGCTTCTCTCCTCCAGGCTGTTCTCTACCACTGAGCTCCATCCTCGTCTCTTTTTTACTTTGATACAGGATCTCACTAAGTTTTCGAGGCTGGAATGGATGGTGTAATCCTCCTTCCTCAGCCTCTGGAGTAGCCAAGATTCTAGGAGTGCACCGCAGTGCCTAGCAAGACTCCACATTTAAGTTAAACTTTCCATACACAGATAATTAGAGTCCCATGCAACCATAAGCACTAACATTGTGCCCTTGAGTGAGGCTGCTAACTCGTGAATCACTATACCCCTTACTTCTGGCCTGGGGCTGCAGTCAGAACCCAGAAGCCTTCCCTTCCGCCATGCACTGTGCTTGCCCGGTGACCACTGTGCGTCCTCTTGTTTTCTTTGGTGTCATCATTGCAGACTTTAATGTGCCACGTGAGTGGATCACAGCGGATAAGCTGCAGAGTTGGCCAGCCACTGCCCTTGTCTGGAGCCCCTGCAGGGGTTTGACCACCAAGGTGCTTGACCACCCTTCCTTCTGTCCCACAAGACCCCTTGGCAGAGAGGCAGTGTGGGCAGCACACAGGGCCTTGTGCGGAGCATGTGTCAAATTTTGATGACAGATGGGTTCTCAGTTTTCCTCTTATCTGTAGTGTTTGTGTTGTTAAGTCTTAACTTTCAACCCTAAATCCCAAAGACTTGCCCCTAGGTATTTTTCTGCAGGTTTCATAGTTCTGTGTTATGGATTAAGTCTGAGATCCATTTGAGTTCATTTCTATGTAAGGTTCAGATCAAGGTTCTCTTATTGTTTGCCTGTGGGTGAAAAATCTAGACTCCCTTCACTGAGTCACTTCTGACCTTTCAAAAGGAGGCTTTTTGTGTGGATCCACTGTCTGGCTTTCCATTTTCTTTACTCTTCTGTCCTTCTGCCAGTATTGCACTACCTTAATTGTAGCTTCCAAGCTTTTATTTTCTGTTTTCAAAATTGTTTGGACTATTCTAGGCCTTTTAAAAGTGTCTTTGTATTTATAAAGCTTTCCTAATATTTTGATAGGAATTGTGTTAAACTAGAGTTCTATTTAGGGAAAATTGGGAAACGTTCTTTCTATTCTCTTTTCTAGAAGCTCATAGGCATCCATTTGGGACCCCTACGGTCTCTTATAAGCTGTTCCTATCCCCCTTTCCTTTTTCACAACAAATTTTCCTGAGAGGGAGAGGGAGAGGGAGAGAGAGAGAGAGAGAGAGAGAGAGAGAGAGAGAGAGAGAGAGAGAAAGAAGAAGGAGGAGGAGGAGGAGGAGGAGGAGCAGGAGCAAAGAGCATTGTTAATTTTTTTTTTTTTTTTTTTTTGTCTTTCTCATTTTTATCGGTACCGGGGATCAAACCCACAACTGCCTGCTTGCAAGGCAGGCACTTATGCCGCTGAGCTAAATCCCCAGCTCTGCATTTTTCATTCTTTAATCATTTGGTAGAATTTTCCAACAGAATCATGTGGACATTTCTTTTTCGGGAACTTTTTATCTATGAATTAGATTTCCCTATTGGTCATAGGCCTAATTCAAATTTTTTCCTGTTGGGTGAGCAGTGGTGGTCTGTTTCAGTTAAATTAACAAATACATGTAGAATTTATAACATCCTTGCTGTCTTTTTAAAATCTTTTAATCACAACCTCATAGAAATATCTACACCTTTCAGTTCTTTTATTAAAATACTGACACAAGTTCTCCCTAAATTGCTAAGTTGCTTAACGTCTCATCTCTGGAGACATCTCACTTTATTGCTGTATTAGTAAATTGTTTCTTCTCTTTTTCTTTGTAAGTCTTACAAGGGGTTTGTCAGGTTACTCATCTTTTCATTGAATCGAGTCATTTCCTTGATTTTTCTTGGTGGTTTTGCTCTTTTCAGTTTCATTGAATTCTACTGTGTTATTTCCTTTCTTGTTAGGTTTTCTTTGTTTGTTTGTTTGTTTGTTTGTTTTTGTTTTTTCTCTCTTCTCTTAGGTCTTTGGGTAGGAGCTTCCATGATTGATTAAAGACTTCTTTTCTGATGCGTGTACTTACTACTATAAATTCTCAGCTAGGTGTAGTAGAGCATACCCCTAACGCAGTGCTTGGGAGGCTGAGGCAAGAGGATTGCTGAAAGTTCAAGGTCAGTTTGGACCACAGAGTGAAACAGTTAAAGATGTGCCGAGATGGAAAACAGCCATTTTTTTGTTTGTCTTACTGTGTAGTTGAGGCTGTCTCAAAACAACAACAACAAAAAAAGGCCAAATTTCCCTCTTGGTGCTCCTTTAACTGTCTCATTAACTCTTTTTTTCCTATTTATTTATTTTTAGTTTTCTCCTCCTCATCTTCCTCTTGTTCATCAAGTTTAACATGCTGTGTTTGCATTCAGTTTGAGGGGTTTTTTTGGTATCTTTGATACTTCATGTTTGATCTTTGCATCGTTTGGTTTCCAAGTAGTACAAGGCTTTCTTGTTCTGTTTTGTTTTGTTTTTTTGGTACTGGGGATCGAACTCAGGACCTCATGCTTGCCAGGCAGGCACTTAAGCCACTGAGCTTTCTTGTTTCTGTTACTGATTTCTTGCTTGACTTCATTGTGACTGGAGACTGTATTCCATATAGTTTCAGTTCTGGTAAATTTCTGGAGGATTTTCCCCTGTTTTAAGTGGGCTATTGCTTTGGATGTCTTGGTGTGTGCTCCATGACCATATGGAAAGGTGCCACTGCCAGATCTTGTTAGTTGATGCTTGTTGGGTTCTCTTAGGTCTTTACCAATTTTTTCTTCTCTTCTTTTCTTTCTTTTTGAGACAGGGTCTTGCTATGCAGTTCAGGCTGGCCTTGAGCTCACTTTGTAGCCTAGGCTGGTCTCAAACTTGCAACAATTCTCCTGTCTCAGCCTCCCAAGTACTGGGATTACAGGCATGTGCCACCACACTCGGCCCAATTTTCCTTCCAGTTTTTCAATCATTTGTTGTAAGAGAGATACTGGAGTTCCCTGCTATAAATGTGGAGATTTTTGTCTTTTTTTGCTTGTTTGTTTTGGGGTAGTACTGGAGATGGGACCTAGAGGCTTTGCACTGAGCTACATACCCAGCACTTTCTATTTTTGAGACAGGGCCCTGCTGAGTGTCTTCAGTTGCCCAGGCCAGGCTTGAACTTGTAAACCATCCTGCCTCAGGATGAGTTCTTGTTGGTCCAGACATTCTTTGTCATGCCTGGTTCAAATGTGGATTTCTCTTGTCTCTTTTTAGTCTTTTTTTTTTTTTTTTTTTTTTTAATGGTTCCAGGGCTTAAATTCAGGGCCTGGTGCCTGCGAGGCAGGCACACTGAGCTGTATTCCCAGCCCCTCTCTTTTTAGTCTTGTCAGTTTCTGTTTCACATATCTGATAGCTCTCTTTATTCGGCGCACGCACATTTAGGATTGCTGCATTTTCTGAGTAGATCCTTTCACTGTAGTTTAATGTTCCCTCTGTCTGGTAGTTCTTTTTTCTTTTTTTTTTTTCCTAAGCCCACTTTTATCTGATACTAATACACCTTGCTTCATTTGATAGTTTATATATTTTTCTGTCCTTATTATCTTTAACTTGACTATATCACATATGAAAAGAGTTTCTGATAATAAGCATGTACTTGGGAAATTCTTTGCCAATTCTGTCTTCCATTTGGTATATTTAGGTCATTTATAATTAATAATTTTAAAATGTTAAGGTTTAAGTCTGCCATTTTATCCCTTGTCTGACCCACATTGTTTTTTCTTTCTTTTGTCCTTTTTTATGATTCTTTTATTTTTTTCCTCCTGTTCAATTCCTTTGAACATGAGTGATGTGAGGATTGAACCCAGGGCCTTCACATTGAGTTATGTCCCCAGCCCCTTTTATTTCTCATTTTGCAACAGGGTCTTATTAAGTTCCTTAGTGCCCAGGCTGGACTCAGACTTGTGATGCTCCTGCTTCAGCCTCCCAGAGTGCTGTGGTCATGGATGTGTGTACCGCCATGTCTCGCTTCCTTTCGCCTTTCCTTTTGGGGTTTTTTGAGACAGGGTCTTGCAGTGTAGTTAATGCTGGCTTTGAATTCAAACTCACAGCAGTCTGCCTACCTCAGCCTCCCAAGTGCTGGGACTACAGTTGTGTGCCACCACACCTGGCCTGACCATCCTTTAGGAAAGGTCTGCTAGACATATTCTTTGCCTTCCTTTACCAGAAAATCATTTTACCTTGCATTCCTATAGGATATTTTTGGGTGTAGGATTCTAAGTAGACAGAATGCTGTTGTTTTGTTTTGTTTTTGAGACAGGGTCTTGCTGTGTAGTTCAGATTGGCCTTGAACCTTGGATTCACTTTGTATCTCAGGCTGGCTTCAAACTCATGGCAGTCCTGCCTCAGCCTCCTGAGTTCTGGGATTACAGGTGTACCCCACCATGCCCACCAATCTTTTTTCCCTCTAGGTAAGATGTCATTTTATAATAGCTGCTTTCAAATTTTTTTTATTTGGTTTGATATTACAAAGTTTTACCATGATTTACTTTGCCATGGATTTCTTTGGGCTTGTGCAGCTTCTTGAATCTGTGGATTTAAGTCATTGCCATCATATTGAAGTCTTTTATTATAGAGTCATATGTTCCGGAGGTTCTACTCATTTCTTTCCTGTCTTCTCTCTGGGTTGATTAGTTTCAGTTCCTCCATCTTGAAACTCACCTAATCTGTGTCTCTTTCACCTGCCATTGAGCTTATCTATTAAAATTTTTTGACTTTTTAAATTTCTGTTTGGTCCTTCTGTATAGTTTTAATTTTACTGAGACTGTCTATTTTGTGACTTGGTTTTTTGGTCACTGTCACATCTGTAGTCATTCACTGAAATCATTTTGTGATGGCACCATTAAAACTGTGGGTAATTTTACCATCTGTGCCACTGCAGTGTTGCTGTCTATTGCTTTTCTGGTTTTATTCCACCTGAGATATTCCTGGTTTTCGTTATGAGTGATTTTTTTGTTTTTGTTTTTAATCAAAACTGAAAGGAGCTTTGAGGCTGTGTTTTGGGTATGATGGCAAGACTTCAATTTTAAAGTCCTTGGATTTAAACTCTGTGTTGCAGCAGACTCCACTTCCAGAGCTAGCCTGGTGGAGGAGGATGCTGCCACCTTGTTCCGATAGCTGGGTGCTGCCAGCCGGACATGTCTTAGTCTCCATCTGGGGCTGGTTGGGATTGCAGTGTCATCTGTAGTTTCTGCTGCTGCATCACAGTGCTGACCTAAAAGTTTTCTTACTAGGCTGTGTTCCTCCTGATGCTTGGTAAAGAACAGCTTTTGGATGTCTGTTGCCTGTGGCTTTTTCTGTTTCAGCTCTGAGATATTGGAGCAGAAGAAACCCCTGGGATCTCCTTGGCCATTTTGCCTTCTTTTTACCTTTTAAGGGCTTCCTCTTTTGTTTCCTTTTCTCATTTTAGTAGCATTAGGGATTGATTCCAGGCTTTTCACACTGAGCTACAGCTCTAGCCATGTGTTGTTTTGAGAGAGTCTTGCTAAGTTGCCCAAGTTGAACTTGACCTTGTGATCTTCCTACCTCAAACTTCAAAGTGCTGGGATCCCAGGTGTGAACATCATACCCAGCATGCATTTGCTTTCACATATCATCTAGGATTTTGTTTGCACTTGTGTCCTCTACCTTCCCAGGCATGGGCCTCTGTATGTTTAATTTCTGAGGCCAAGGGTATTCAAGTGGAGGGTGTCTCGGGGAGTCCCCAGCCTCACTGGTTTTGCTTGCTCAGAGGGCACAGCACACTGTCCCCATCTGGATGGCACTACCTGACCAGTTGATTTCACAGTCTCAATATTTTGCTCAAGAAAATGTAGACTGTGGATGCTTGCCCCAGGATCTGCCCCCAGACTAGGAAAATTTTCCAAAAATGACTTTGCTTTTCCTCCACGAATGCCATGGGCCTGTGTGTGCCCCTCTGGCCATGATTGCAGAGGTACATGGTTGATAGAGAACCAGGGGGAGACAGGTAGGCTCCCCCAGGCCGCTGCTGCTGTCATCACCCTCTGGGTGAGAAGACTGAGTTGCTTTTGTTTTATCAAAACAAAAAGAGCTTGAGAAGCATAGTTTAGTTTTAAGATGTAAAAACTGCACTGATGCATAAGATAGTCAAAGGTCATAGCTCCCCACTCTGCTTGAGTCAGAGTCACCTGAGATTCCTGGCTCCCCCAGGACCACTCAGACATGTATGGGGCTGAAGCCTGGAAACAAGCACTGTCACCGAGCCCATAGTGAAGCTTGCAGCATCCTGCGTTACCTCTGTGCCTTTGTGTGAGAGGGCAAACCCTCCTTCAGCTGGGAGATGGTGGCACCGAGCTCCGTGTAGCGATTCACTGCTGTTTGCCTGCCCAGGTCCGTAGATTGTTTCTGAGTGGACCCCAGACTAGGGAAAGAACCTGTCTTCTCCTTTACTGCTGACTTGGAGATAGAGCACGTGAGGTACACAAGTCTAGAAAGAGTCTTTCCTTGGTGGCTGCTCTTTATCAACTTAAGAGTGTGCTTTCCAAAAAAAAAAAGTGTGCTTCCTACGGAGGAGGTGCAGCATCCTCTGGACTGGGCCATGGGGCAAGGGGAGCCTGCTGGGCTCCCAGGATTTAGAATCTTCTAGGAGAGGAGGCCATAAGCCCAGGCCAGCCATTTCCTCTCCTCTGCTGCTATGGGGGCCCTGCACCGTGGCCAGTGACTGCTTCTCCCTCATTTCGTCCTCAGCACTTGGTCGGCCGTACACATTTGATTGTTATGAAACTCATATTGATCTGCTCTTCTCTATCAACTCCTCACTCAACTGCTCTGACTTCTTAACTCTTCATTTGCTGTTTGATTGATTTACAGAATGCCTTCTCACGGACCCCTAATTCCCACCCCAAAATTAATTTTTATCTTGGGGATAAATGGTATTGAAATTATAAATAATTGGTGCACTGGACTAATACATGCATAATAGGAGCTTTGTTCTGGTTTACTTGTGACACCCAGTAATGATCTCAGCTCCCATTTATTGCTAAAGTTTCAGGCTGTAAGATATTTTTGTGTCTCGGGGGCTTTTTTATATCGTTTTTTTTTTCTTTCTGCTCCCCTGGGGCATCCCTTCCCCTCCCTATAACTGCGGTCCCTGGCTGGCTATGCCCTCCCTCACCGCCTGCCTGCAGGGTTCTATGGCCTCGACGAGTCGGACCTGGACAAGGTCTTCCACCTGCCCACTACCACCTTCATCGGGGGACAGGAGTCGGCATTGCCTCTGCGAGAGATCATCCGTCGCCTAGAGGTAAAAACAAGAGCCAGTGTCTAGAATCGTCTAGTGGATTTGAAGGCTGGGTGTGGGAGATAAGAATCTCCACAAACTCAAGGCCACCCTGAGCTGCACAGTGAGACCCTGTTGTAAAATATGTTATCAAAAAAAAGTTACTTATCAGGAACTTGCATTGGTAGGATACTTTCAAGACTGGGTCTTTTGCTTGTCCTATATTTTTTAAAAAATACAAGTATAGGCATGATTTTCAATTAGCCAAACACAAAAGCATTCCGTGTAGTCAGATCCCAGGATAAATTTATTTCTGATACATGAAGCCCTGGAGGATCCCCTACAACCTGGGGGTCAGGCCTGGAGCCATTGCTCCCCAGGTGGACAGGTCCCAAGGCAGCAGGTGCTGGCTCTTGTCCCTCTTCCCCACCCCCTTCATTTCTCTCAGCCTTAGTTTTCTTTGTCTCTCATTCCTGGACTTTGTAAGGATGTGGCATGCTGGGAACCCCTTACAGCATGTTACAGATGGCCAGTGGGTCTGGCTTGTGTCAGGCTGCATGTGTCTCAGCTTTCCATCTGGACAAGCCACACCTCTGTCTGCAGAGCCCGTTCCAGAGCATAGGATAGGTTTCAGGAGATCTGTGCCCAGTGTTAGCTGTTGTGTCACTTAGTGCTCTAACCAATTTAGAACCCATTGCTAGATTCAATGGCCCAACAAGTCCGGGTTGCACCCCACTGTGGGGGAGGGGTCCCTGAGGCCCCTGCCGTGGCTGGACAGTAGCTTGGCTCCCCAGGGCAGAATCCTCCCTTCACACCGTGGTTCATTCCTGCTTTGGGGAATGTTGTGAGGATTCAGATCCTCTTGAGAATTTGCATATGTTGGCCAAGGGCAGCCTGCAGAGTTGGGTGACGGATGAAGACCTGCTGTAGTCTGTGACAAGCGTCTCATGACCTTACCAGCATCTGCAGTTGGAGCTGCTTCATTCCTATCCTTCCTCACCTGCTAGCTATGGGAGAGGAAAGGGTGGAGACCACACCTATGCCAGCCTCAGGAGAGGAATCCTTCCTGTCCACATGCCAGCCTTGCTCATTGGTGTTATCCTGTTCATCATGGGAGACATGAGCCACCGGGTACTGTGTGCAGAGCATCTGAATCACTTTTTTAATATTGAAAAGATAATATGTTGATACCATGTTTCAAATAAGACAAGTGCACTTATCTCACCTGTGTGTACTGGGAAAACTTAAACTACTAAGGCTAAGTGGATCATGAAACTGAGTGGCTCACATCCTGCTTGTGCTGGCTGGTGTTGATCTGAAGTTCTTCCGCCACCTGGACTGCGCGGGTAGCATCCTGTTGTAGCCCTGTCCTCCTTTAAGGGGTCTGTCCTCAGGTGACTTGGCCACTCTCATGTCACACCTACCCCCTGGTGTCTCTCCTGTTGATCTGATATGGTCAGGATGACAGACAAAAGGTGATTGCCCCAAAAGCCCTGCCCTCTCCAGGAGTCTGGGCCCCAGCTAGGCCTCCCCGTGCCCTTCTTCCAGCATCTTTCATCACCTTCCTTCCCAGGAGCACAATCGGAAAGGGGTTGCTGACAGCCTCTGGACTAAGTCCTGTGTGTCCTAATTCCCCCTCATTCCCTAGTGTGAAGGGGCAGAGAACCCGCAGCACCTCCACAGGCTGCTTTGCTCTCCTCCTCTCCCCCAACCCAGTGCCAGTACCCCAGATGCCACAGCTTGGGGCACAGACATGCACAGGACCTTGCCAGGCAATGGAGAGGGGTAATGTCAGGCAGAACTGAGACTCTCAGTCCCATGACCTGGTGCTGATCTTGTAGCTTTGAAGAAAAGGAGAGGAAGTGCTGCTTCTCAGCCTCCTAAACTTTTTCTGAGTAAAGGAGAAGCTGTAAGACAGCTCCCAGCCTCACTAGCCTTTTCTCCTGGGCATTGAGCTAAGGCCAGGAAAGAAAACAGGCTCGTTGGTCCGAAACGGCACCCACGTGGTAATGGCCGTAGGTTGGGGTTTGTAGCCCTGCAGTTTCCTCTAATTCTTCAGCAGTGGGAATTGCACCTGCCAGGCTTAAAAGGGAGAGAAGAGAGGCCTGAGCACGCTCAGTGCTGTTCCGTCCCTTCTGCCGGTAGGTGCAGCAGTGAGAGGGGAGGAGTTCTGCTGCTGGCACCCTGGGCCTCCAGGACAATGGCACAGTACAGAACGCCACGGTGGCTCAGGAGAGGCTCAGGGCCACCACAGGAGCACTGAACTCAGGCAACTGAGATGTATTTTCTCCTCTCTGGCCTGCCCTTCCCAAGGGCTCTGCTCCTGCAGAACGGCCACTGCCTCCTCTCCCTACTTTGGCATCCGGACGTGGTTAGGGGCAATCTGGTCTGTTTCAGACCTGCCACTTGTGATACACACACTCATGTGCTTGTGTAGCCCCGGAATTGCTGAGAGGAGTCAGGTGTGAGAAAGCCTCAGTCTTTAAATGGCCATGGAGCCCCCAATAGCACACGGGACTCCTAGGCACCGGTGCTGGTGCCACGATGCACACAGCCTACTTTTTTTGGAGGATATGGTGTGTGCTTCCTCCCCAGGAGTAATGAGTCGGTGGACTGGGTGCTCCCTTGGCCTGAACAGTGGGCCTGACAGGCTCCTGGCGTGCAGTAAGCCAAGCACCCAGTAGTACCTTGTGGCTGGGCCTCTGCTTTCTCAGAGCTTGCTAGGTGCATTAGAGAAGGAAGCTGTACTCTCCAGCCATCCGGCCTGCTTCAGTGTTCTTTCCCGGGTGAGGGGGTCAGTTGGCTGCTGCCAGCTTATCAGGGTGCAATTCGTGTCCATCAGTGACCCCCATGTCCCCTTGTGTGTGGGGACAGATAGCCTACTGCCAGCACATCGGTGTGGAGTTCATGTTCATTAACGACCTGGAGCAGTGTCAGTGGATCCGGCAGAAGTTCGAGACGCCAGGGATCATGCAGTTCACCAATGAGGAGAAGCGGACGCTGCTGGCCAGGCTTGTGCGATCCACGAGGTATGGGGCTGGCTGGGGTCCAGAGCTCAGGCGTCTAGGCAACCTGTGGCTGTCAGTGGGATGCAGGCCTAGATGTGGCCATGGCCACCTGCCTATGGAAAGATGACCTGGTGAGCAGAGATAGCCTCTGAAGCACCCTCTTGGTACTTAGGAAGGTGACATTAGGACAGGGGACATTCTTTAAGGTGCTTGAAACCCTCCCAGGTTTGAGGACTTCCTGCAGCGGAAGTGGTCCTCTGAGAAGCGCTTTGGTCTCGAAGGCTGCGAGGTACTGATACCTGCCCTCAAGACCATCATTGACAAGTCCAGTGAGAACGGGATCGACTATGTGATCATGGGGATGCCCCACAGGTATGTACGGTGTGCAGGTGCCAGCTGGGGGAGGCAGGAGGCTTCTTGGTTTTCAGGGTGACCAGAGCCCCCTTCATCGTGGCCAGAGCCACATGTAGTTCAGACTGGTGTTGGCTTGGTGCTTAGTTGTATAAGGATTGAACCCTGATTCCCTTACCAGGTCTAACCTCAGGAGCCAGGCTGCTCCAAAGCTAAGGAAGTAGAGGGCAGGTTGGTGGTGTGGGTGCGCTCTTTTCGGCATTCTGGTGTGGCTACTGCCAGGGCCAAGAAAGAGCCATGTTATGAGTGAGAGCAGGGCATGGAGCAGCTGTGCCCTGAGGATATACTCACCTCACCATATGTCCCAGGGGACGGCTCAATGTGCTTGCCAATGTCATCAGGAAGGAGCTGGAACAGATTTTCTGTCAGTTTGACTCGAAGCTAGAGGCAGCAGACGAGGTGAGTCAAGGACCTGTGTGGAGCTGTGGGGCATGGCAGCCTCTGAAAACAGCGGGTCTCCTCCACCCAGTAGCCCACATCCCTTCCTGGGGACTGCTTCCCTGACCTGGGTAGGCAACCTCAGGGAAAGGCTGCACCTCCTCCCTCAATGGAGAGCTAGGAGTGAGCCTTTCCTGCCAACCTTGGTCTCACTGGTTGTACCACAGGGCTCCGGAGACATGAAGTACCACCTAGGCATGTATCACCGCAGGATCAACCGCGTGACCGACAGGAACATCACCCTGTCCCTGGTGGCAAACCCTTCCCACCTGGAGGCTGCGGACCCTGTGGTGATGGGCAAGACCAAAGCTGAGCAGTTCTACTGTGGCGACACTGAGGGAAAGAAGGTGAGTCACTAGGACCAGAGCAGGAGTTGGTTCATGTTTTGCGTGTCTGCGGAGCAGCCACTCGTTTACCCTTGATAGACAGAGATGTGCTCACTGAGGAGGGAGGCCAGTGGGGAGCAGGAGTGGGTCGGAGGGGTGTCATTCAGGTTGCTGCTGGGATGGGGCAGAAGCCCACTCTTGAGGTTGACACAGGCTCCAGGTGTCTAGGGTCCTACTGCAGTGTTTGGGTGTGACAGGGAATGCTGCGTCCTGACAGCAGCCTGCGCATGTATAGAAACTTTCCGTAGATTGTAACCATTTGCACTTCCTTATCTCCATTAGGATTCTATTCACAACAAAGTCTGCAGTTTTTACTATTTAATGAGGATGTAAGTGAGCAGGATGGTGCATGCCTGTAATCCTAGCACTCAGGAGGCTGAGGCAGAAGGTTGGCTGCAAGGTGGAGGCCAGAGCCATAGTGCTTCGTCGCAAGCCTGAGCTACATAGTGAGACCCTATCTTACAAAACAAAACAAAGCTTTATAATGACCTAAAAACCGAATAATCAGAAAATGAAATACTTATAATACCTGTAGGGTGCATGTTGGGCGCTTTCTAGCCTGCTCCCGAGGACATTTTCCTTTGCTCTTGTGCTTGCTCAGGTGTGGGAGTCAGGTAGTATAGAACTGGATTTGGAAAGCTTGAGGTGACTTCTGCATTCACAAGTACATGCAAAAGCCCTCTCGAGCGGTCCTCACTAATAATACCGAGAGCGTCCTGAAAAGTAACGTGTTACTGCAGGCAGCAGAGGGTTTGTGAAACTGCTGCATGTCCACATGAGCCAGTGCTCTTTAAGCTGCCGGGACAGCTGCTAGGACAGAGAGACCCACTTGCCCGCAGCTGTGCGTGCAGAGTCTGAGACTCCAGTCCTGTGCAGTAGCCAGTGGTCCTGGCCATCCCCCGACAGGTGGCTGCCAACTGTCCAGTTACCTTGGGCCCCCCACATCCTCCTGCTTCCCCTGCTGCTTCCAACACCGTCAGGGAATTAGTAGGTTTCTGCTATATAGCCTACAGGAAGATGGGGTGTGTGTTACTTAACCTCAGTATTCATGGAAGGTTATGTACTGCCTCCTAGAGCCTGACTCTCCAAGGGGAGAGTCATCTGATCTATTGTGTGAGTGGCCCTGGGGCGCATGTGACAGAAGTGTTTGTGTAGTGCAGCACTATATGGCTGCACCAGGGAACCTGCTTTCCAGAACTTGGAGAGACCTCGCCTGGGTGCGCAGCAGGTGTGGCAGTCGAGCACGGCAGTGTGCTGCGATGGCGGAGCCTGGCCCTGTGCCCTGGCGGCAGGAAGACAGCTCTGGGGATCAGAGCAAGTGACTTCATGCCAGCGGCTCTCGTTTCCAGCAAGACAACAATTAGGCATTGTGGTGGAGCTGCACAGCCTTCCAGGGGCCCCCGAGCAGGCTGGACACTGAATCCATTGTCTGACTATCTTGCTAGCGTCCTTCATGGCCACCAAGAGGCAGGACATGTGCCATCTTGTTTTTAAAAATTGTTGATTTTGTTCCTGAAAGGCGAGTCCTAGGCCATCCCTTGCTAGCAAGAGGACTTGGCACAGGATTGGGGACCAGAATGACTATGGAAACTTGGGAGGTACAGGTCCACAACCCCATAGGCAGCACAGCACAAGGGGTTGCATCTCATGTCACCTTTTAGGCCAGGAACCCACCTGGACATTTCTGTGAAGGCATTCTTGAAACAAGGCACATTTAAATCAGGATTTTGAGGAAAGCAGGTAATCCTCCACCTTGTGGGTGGGCCCCCAAAGCTCAGTCCAGAGCCTGCAAAAGATGACCAAGGTCACCAGGGAAGAGGGAATTTTCCTGTAGCCAGCTGCCAGGCTCTGACTGCATCCTCCACTCCTCTCTGGCTCTGTAGCCTGCCCTGCCCCTCCTGTAGTTTGACTGTTCTGGCCTGGTCCCAACCTCAGGAGAACCCCAGCTAGGACAGCCTGCGAGTGGCACAAATTTCAAAGCCAGGAGCAGGGGCTGGAGGGACACTGAGCATGGGCAAGCATTGCAGGCAGCAAGGGTGATGTGCCTGGCAGCTGGAGGAGAAGCTGGCAGGTGGGAGGAGACAGCTGAGTAAAGAATTAGATTGGAATTAGGAGGGTCAGTCTGAGCTCAGTTTCATTTTACAGATACAGAAACAAACCGTGTACGCACAGATGTGTGCATACACCTCTTCCAGCTCTGCTCACAGGCAGGTGACAGCACACAGAAATCGGACTTGGATCCCCTCTCCCTAGAGGAACTGGGCTAGCCAGGGCAGCACAGCGGGAGGTGCCCAGAGTTCACCCAAGTGAGCAGTGAAAGGTGGTGCTGTTGTGTGCAAGCTGTCAGGGATTTACCAAGGCACCCGAGCACAGATGAATACAAACGAGCGATGCTGAAGAGAAGGGAAAGCCGCTCTGCACCCCGCTCCTAGGGTAGGCATAGTGGGAGTCAGCTGTTACTGTCTGTCCTCACCCAAGGAGCATGCTCTATGTGGTGAGTGCTACGAGGCTGAGGTAGAACCTGGGGAGGAACAGTACACTTCTCCCCACATAGCATGCAGAGAAGGTGTGATTTGGGGAGCATCATAGACAGCAGCCTGCCAGGGGACCAGGGAGCCCACCAACACAGCCCACCAACAGACACACTGTGGTGGCAGCCCACCCCAGGGGCCCGGGCATGTCGGAGGAGGTCCCCCCAGTGCCAAGAGAGCTGCCTTGGGAGCTGTTGGTGGCAGGACATTGTGGGTAGGGATCAAGCAGATCCACCAAGATCTTAGCAACTTGGGCCAGAAAGGGATTGGGGCCTTTGTACTCTTCTGCCTTCTAAATTCTAAAGTGTCTCAAAACCTTATTTGTTTTGAAAAACAGATTGCAACTCATGTTCTGTGCTCACCTCACCTCACTCATGGGCTCAGCGGTTGGGACATTTTAGATTTGGGGTCTGCTTTGTAGGTGATGTCCATCCTCCTGCACGGAGATGCTGCCTTCGCTGGCCAGGGCATCGTGTATGAGACCTTCCACCTCAGCGACCTGCCGTCCTACACCACCCATGGCACGGTGCATGTGGTGGTCAACAACCAGGTAACTCCCAAGACTGCTCGGCCTCTCTGGGGGGCCTGTTGGCCTCGTTTCCTGATTATTAGAGGGTATCTTCTGTTAAAAATTTAGACAATGTTCGATCCCCAGTACCAGAAAAAAAATTTGGACAACATACAAAAAAAAAATTTTTTTTTTTTGTGGTCTTTTTGAGACAGAGTTTTACTGTGCAGTTCAGGCTGGCCTTACAGTCACTTTATAGCCCAAGCTGGCCTCAAACTTGCAGCAGTCCACCTGCTTCAGGCTCCTGAGTGCAGGAATTATAGACTTATGCCACCATGCCGAGCAGGAAAACTACTTTTTTTTTTAAATGAAGAAAAAGAGGAAATTTTACTTATATCTTAAAGGTGCCATTATTTAGGACCAGGACACCGGTGGTTATTTTTCACTTTGTTTAACAGCATGGGGTCCTGGGATTATAGCTTGGGTAGAGCATGTGCCTCTGGATTACAGGGATGGCGTCCTCCTCAAGAGGCGTCAGAGGGACTGATGTGGGACTGGTGCCAGGGAGCATGAGGACTATTTATTTCCACGTGTGAAAGTGATGAGAAAGAGGGCCTAGGAAGAGAAGTGGGACCTGGCAGGTATGGAAAGAAGGAAAAATTTCAAATTGCATAAGTAAATATGGCTCCATGTAGTAAACACTAAAAGACTTGGAGTTTAAAAGGTGTGATTATACCCAGGCCTGAGACCCTCGCCTATAATCCCAGCTCCTCAGAAAGCTGAGGCAGGATGACTAGCCCAAGGCCAGATGGCTACACAGCAAGACCTTGTATCAAAAAAATAGCCTGAGCCAGGCATGGTGGTGCACACCTGCTATAATTCTAGCCCTCAGGAGGCTGAGGCCAGAGGGTTGCCATGCATGTGAGGCCATCCTGGGCTACACAAGCTAGTTCAGAACCAGCCTGAAATACATAGCAAGGTCTTAACTTTTTTTTTTTTTTTTTTTTTTTTTTTCCTTTTCTCTTCAAATCCGTTTGATTTCAAAGAAAAAAAATAAAATTTCAAAGAACACATCTGTCAGGGGCAACAATAGTACATACGTTGTACATTGTGCATTGTCTTGTTTTTTGGTACAGGGGATCGAACTCATAATCTCGCACTTATGAGGCAAATGCCTAAGCTGCTGAGCTAAATCCCTAGCCAAATCATTCACTAGAGCACAAGACATCTGATTCAAATGTCCGAACAGTGTCAGTACAAGTCTTTCTCTTCAGTGACCTCAGAGCAGTCAGTAGTATAGCTGTCTTAGCTGTTTTTGTATACATGTACATACATAAATGTATTCATTTGTTCAGCTTCTCACACTAGTGAGACAATATAATGTTTATACATGTGTGTCTGATTTATTTCACTTATGCATGTGATATCAAGTTGCATCCATTTACCTGTAGAAGTGTTCAGTTCTTCTTTATGACTGAATAAGTACTCCATTGTATAAAAATGCCACATTTATCCATTCTTCAGTGGATGGCATTTAGGTTATTTGAAGAGCTAGCTAATACAGATTGTGCTGGTATAAACATGGGTGCACATACATCACTGTGTATGATGTTTTTAATTCTTTTGGGAAGATACCCAGCATGGGGAATAACTGGGTCGAATGGGACCCCCTAGTCCTAGTTTTTTGAGGAATCTCCACATTGATTTCCACAGTGGTTGCACCAGTCTACTATCGCCAACAGTGGAGAAGAGTTCCTTTTTCCCCACAGTCCCAACAGTGTTTGGTTGATTTCTTGATAATAACCATTCTTTCTGAGATAAAAGACCCAGTTTTAAGAGCCTGAATCAAAAAGGCGAAGAATATTAATGAGCATAATAGCATCTGGTAAAAAACCACCAGTTATTAAGTGGCTGTTGCAATCAGAACAGCAAATCGGGTATGTCATATATGTTAGTCCACGAGGTGGTTCCCCACACAGAGGGTGACATTGCTGCCACTTTACAGAAAAGGAAATGGTGCAGGCGACTTACTCAAGGTGAGCACCAGGGCCAGGCCATGATCCACCTTCCCCGGGCATGATACAAAGAAGATCTGGAAAAACTCATCAAGGAGAGAGGAGATCTGAAAACAAAACCTACTGCTGAGCTTTCTTTTCCTTTGATTTTTCTCCTGGCAAAATCTGTATGCACTGGGCCTGAGGGTGTGGCTCAGCGGTGGGTGCACGCCTGGCATAAAGGAGGCCTGGGTTCCGTCTCCCATGCCATCCCCTAACGTGCAGATACAGTAGTCTTAGCCTTGCTTTTGTTGAGATGAGGTCTCACTAAACCGCTCTGGTCCACTCTTTAGTACCTCTGTAGGTTAGGCTGCTCGGTTTGATCTCTGGATCTTCTGTTTCTTTGCTGAGACTCTGTTTTTATCCAGGTAGGGGAGAAACTGCTTTTAATGGCCTCACCCTGCTGGGCAGTTGTCCAGGTCCAAACTCTTCCCCAGACACTGCCTCAGGCCACCAAGGAGTCTTGGGGCCTAAGGACCTAATCGCCATCAGTCTGTGCCTGGGGAGACCTGGGCTGTGTAGTGTTTTGTCCTACACGGTTGGAGTTGAGCAGTTACTGAGTGTGTTCTCAGGTTGCCTCTTCCTCTGCAGAGTCATCTGACCTGTGGGTGGGTCCATGTTGCTTGTTCCTCTCGTGATCAGCGGGGCCATAACAAGGCAGAGAGGATGCTGGGAACTGAAAACCTTAGCTATCTGCCTTCTCTGGTGGGACTCCAGGGTGTGGTTTGACCTTCAAATGCCATCCAAGAGGACTGAGGAGAGTACAGCTTCTCCATCTATGGTAGCGCAAGGCCCTGTGGGGGCTTTTTATAGCCACAAGTTCAATTTTTGTATTACCCATAGTACTATTCAGTTTATCAGTGTATTCTTGAGTGAGCTCTGGTAATTTCTGTCCATTTTCTTTAGGTTGTAGGATCTGTGGGCATAAAATATGTGACAGTCCCTTGCTGAGCTCTGTGGGATCTGTCAAGTGCCCCTCTGGTTCCTGATTTGGGACTCATACAGCTTGTTGGCTTCCTGGTTAGCATGGCTGTAGGTTGTCTTCTTTCTCCCTGGAAGCAGTTTGGTCTCCTTGCACTTCTGTTCCCCATTTCTTTCATTTCCTTCTACTTCCTTTGGATTTGGTCTTCTCTCTAGTTTTGTGGGTCATTGATTGGAGGCTTTCCTCCTCTGCAGTATAAACAAAGAACATTACCATACAAATAAAGGGTAGGACTTGTTTGTTCAACTTCTTTTGGCAAAAAGTCAAGCATTTCCATCCAACTTGAGTGAGACTGCATCTTAGGATGCTGCAGTGTCTGGAAACATGCAAGAAGGATGTGTAGGGAGGGGATGAGGGTCAGTGTCAGGCCCAGGGAGAGATTTCAGCAGCATGAGAGGAAGACCCACAGCCAGGGCTGTGGCTGTGTCCAGGAGTGCTGAGACTCCTCCTCCCACTAGAAAACTAGTGAGCGGACTACTGTGAGATGGGGGCACCCTTTGGGGCCCCAGACTGGCAGTTCCACTTAGCATGTCTCTTAGCACTGAGGGTCTGCTAAATACCTGTCCCACCACATCCATGTGTGCACGTGTGTGTGAGTGCGTGTGCGTGCATGTGTGCACACACATGTGCACACGTGCCCTGTGTGTATGTGCTAAATGACCTGGGAGGTCTGCAAGGCACCAGTAATCTAGGTCTGGGGTGAATGCTGACTCAGTTGCCATTATCCCCCAGGTCATGCAACCCAGTGTGCCTGAGATTGTTCAGCCTCCTTTGAGTTTGGAATCTGTGTTTCATAATATTCACTGCTGGGTTTGACTCTCTAATCTTGTCTTCAGCCAGTATGAGAAGGAAGGTTGTTTGCAAGCATGTTGACATAAATATGGAGTTCTTAGGCCTCTCTAAAGAGTAGTTCTGTTAATATTTTTTCTTTTTCCCTTGCAGTGTGGGGCTCGGAACTCACAGCCTCAGATATTAATAGGACAGTGTGCTACTGCCCAGCTCACCCCACCAATTTTTTTCCCTTTTCTCCTTTGACTTCCTGCTTGTGAGGTGGTACTAGAGCAGGAATCTCCATCGTAGGAGGCTGCTTTGCAGATGCTCTTCTCTAAACGCAAACCTAGAAACTCTCCTTGGAGAAATCTTTTCTAAAAAGCCTATCAGATACTCAATATTCTTGCCTACGAATATTTGTCAAGGGGCTGGGGATTTAGCTTAGCGGCATAAGCACCTGCCTTGCAAGCAGGCGGTCGTGAGTTTGATCCCTGGTACCAATTAAAAAAAAAAAAAAGAATATTTGTCAAAAAAATACTTGTCAAAACTGTAATTTGTGCTACCACAAAATAAGAAACAAGTTGGATATCCAACAGTACAAAAACTTTTGTGTGAAATTCGGCAGAGCCTCAGGATGAGATATAGAACCATTAAACTGCTTATTCTGGGAAATAGTCACAGTACAGTAAATAGGAAATGCAGGCTATTCCTGCTGCTGCTGGGAGTGTTAGTAAACCACTCTCAGGAGCAGTCTAATAGTAAGTGGAAGGTCTGCCACACTCCTGTTTTCCCTTCTTAGGAGCAGCTGCACATAAACTGTATGCAGGAGAAAACCTGCATAGGAACCTGCAGAGCTATGTTTGTTTGTTTGTTTGTTTGTTTGTTTCTTTCTTTCTTTCTTTCTTTCTTTCTTTCCTTCCTTCCTTCCTTCCTTCCTTCCTCCCTTCCTTCCTTCCTTCCTTCCTTTCTTTCTTTCTTTCGTCTTTTTCCTTTTTATTGGTACCAGGGATCGAACTCACGACTGCCTGCTTGCAAGGTAGGCGCTTATACCTCTGAGCTAAATCCCCAGCCCCAGAGCTATGTTTTTATGGGAAACTAGCTGGATGCCTCCCAGTAGGCACTCTGATCAGTACCTGAGGGTTGCACTGGTGGATCCCTCCGGCTGGCCTAGGGGGAGAAGAGCTGTGTTTCAGTGTGTGTGCCTCGAATAGGGATGTTGAACAAAAAACAGGCTGCAGAAGATCTGCGGTGTATCAGGATGATACTGTGTATGAGGCACACGGGGTATATGCCTTAAACACAGGGAAGTACACCAGGTAGGTCAGTGCCCTGAAAAACCAAGGAAGGCAGCACCATCATCCACATGAATGTAGGCAGTTGATAGAAAGTGTGTGGCCTGTGGTCAGGTAGTGGTGTTAGGGGTGTCAAGTGCTGGAGGCTGAGCTGCAGTCTGGGAAGGAAGGGAGCATCTGCAGCTGATCCCAAACGGTGCGTGTGGTGACAGAGTGCATGGGAGAGCTGAGGGAATCAAGCAGAAACCGTGTGGGAGCGCTTCCCGCCCCTTCCAGTTTCATGTGTGAAATCAGATCAGAATTTAAAGGGCGCCTATAAAAAGCCTAAGAAGAGGGGCTGGGGATTTAGCTCAGCAGCATAAGCACCTGCCTTGTAAGCAGGCAGTCATGAGTTTAATCCCTGGTACCGATAAAAACGAAAAAGACAAAAAAAAAAAAAGCCTAAGAAGATACAGTTGGTGAACATGAGAAAAACCAAGTAGCAAGAATGAAATGTCCCATAGTTTTTGGGGAGGAAGGCTCTGGCTCAGGCTTCAGCAAAAACATGTACCAAGGACTAGAGATATAGCTCAGTGACACAGAGCGTGCCTGGGATGCACGAGGTCGTAGCGTGCCTGGGATGCACCAGGTCGTGAGTTAGATTCCCAGTACCAAAAGTAAGAGTTGAGCTGGCATGGTGGCACATGCTTGTAATCCTAACACGAGACTGTGGCAAGAGGATCGTTACAAGTTTGAGATGCAGCCTGAGCTACAAAATAAGCTCAAGGCCAGCCAGAACTGCAAAAGCGAGACCCTGTCTCAAAAAGACCAAAAAAAAATGTATACCAAGAGCCAGGCATGATGGTGCATGCCAGGAGGGGCTGAGCCAGGGGGATCACACGAGTTCAAGGCTAGCCTGGTCCACATAGCATAGTGAGACCTGTCTCAAGAAACCAAAATAAAAAGTACCAAGAAAGGCTCAGAAGCCAATGTAGGTTAACTTCAGATTTCCTCATGTTAGGTGATGTGGGGGGTTGATTATACAATATTATTACCAACTTTATATTTACAGTAGTTCATAAAAATTTTAATAGCTGGGCAAGAAGACATATGCCTGTATTTCCAGCACTCCAGGAGGCTGATGCAGGAAGGATTGCAAGTGCAAGCTCAGCCTGGGAAATTTAAGTCCTCTTCTCAAAATTAAAAGGGGATGGGGACTGAGGATGTAGCTCAGTATGAAGGCCTTGGGTTCAGTCCCCAAAATCTAATATGAGATTTAAATGTGGTCATAAAATTATGAACATACAGTGACATTTTGGTACATCTGAATGGAGGAGTATATTAAATCTTTCATATTTCCAAAGAAAAAATGCTCACCATATAAGAATACAGAATTATAGAAATAAGGTCCCGGGACTGGGGATTTAGCTCAGCGGCATAAGCGCCTGCCTTGTAAGCAGGCAGTCATGATTTCAATCCCCGGTACCGATAAAAAGGAAAAAGAAAAAGAAAAAAGGTTCCAAGCTTTAAAGATACATGCATATACATGTATGTATATTTATGCAGGTGTACATCCTAAAGGAATAATCTGGAAAGGGAGCGGCAAGACATTTGTACTATAGCCTATAATGAATTACAGATGACTGGGCTGGGGATTTAGCTCATCAGCATAAATGCGTGCCTGGCAAGCACAAGGTTATGAATTCAATCTCTGGTACCAGGGAGAAAAAAAAAAAAAGCATTACAGATGACTAATTTTTATGCTGTGTCTTCCATATTCTCTATGTCAAACGTAATTTTTAAAAATTTTTTTTATCTTTTCTGGTACCGGGAATTGAACTCGTGACCTCAAGCTTGCAGGGCTGGTGCTTATACTGCTGAGCTAAATCCCCAGCCCTCGTCAGTGAATTTTTGACATCAAAATAATGAAAATCAGAGGAAGAAATAGGCCCATGTGGCCACCTGGGGCCCCTTGGCCTAAGCAGCCCTGCACCTCCCCTGCAGGCCCTTGTCACACTCCTGTTCCTTGCAGATCGGCTTCACCACAGACCCCCGGATGGCCCGCTCCTCCCCCTACCCCACTGACGTGGCCCGCGTGGTCAATGCCCCCATCTTCCATGTGAACGCTGATGACCCTGAGGCTGTCATGTACGTGTGCAAGGTTGCGGCCGAGTGGAGGAGCACCTTCCATAAGGACGTGGTCGTCGATCTGGTGAGTGGTGCTAGGGGTTCCCACCCGCCGCCCATGTGCCCTTGGTAGTGTGCAAGGTGTTCTCTGGCCAGGAGCCCTGGGCTGATGAGAGCCAATCAGGGGCCCTGCTGACCCCACAAAGGATTGCCTGGTGAATCAGGAGGTTGTACCCCGAGACTGCTCTGCTATTGCCTCATTTGATAATTGCAGCCGCACCACCACCGGGTGAGGGAGGGAGTCAGACCCTAACTCAGAGGACTCATCTTGCATGAAGACAGGCCCAAGGCTTGTTCCTCGGCGGTGTCCCTCCCCCAAAGCCTGCCGCAGACTCTCATGCTGTCTGCCGGCCTGCCATCCAGGTGTGCTACCGGCGCAATGGCCACAACGAGATGGACGAGCCCATGTTCACACAGCCGCTCATGTACAAGCAGATCCACAAGCAGAAGCCAGTGCTGCAGAAGTATGCCGAGCTGCTGGTGTCACAGGGCGTGGTCAACCAGCCTGAGTACGAGGTGTGTCCTGACAGCCTTTGCAGGGCCAGGGGGACCAGTGAAGGCTGCTCTCAAACCAGTCCTTCCATTAGGATGAAGTATGACAGCTGTGACATTTCAGTGCATGACTTCTTAAAGGGTCAGGGCTCCCAAGAGGCTTTGTAAAGGAGGTGGGCCTCCAAGCAGTGTTTGTGGGAAGAAAAGGTGTCCTGAAGACAAGGTAGTAGCTGCCCAGCAGTTTTTCTCAGTTGCCACAGATTGTGTGCAGGCAAGGGGTAAGGGCTAGGTCGCACTGGGGAGGGAAGGGCCCAGTGTGCTGTGGACAGGACATCCTGGCCAGGTGAACAGAAGGTTGTGCAGGTTATGAGGAGCTACATGGAACATGGCCAAGGCTAGAGTCCCCTGGGCAGGGCCTGGAGACAGCGCTGAGTAGAGAGTAACAGAGGAACCAGAAGAACTCAGCCCATTCTTAAGATGGAACATGGGGCCAGGGATTTAGCTCAGCATGTACAAGGTCATGATTTCAATCCCCAGTACCAAAAAAAAAAAAAAGAACACAGGCCAGGGCCTCCGACTCAAAGCAGCACCTCTCAAGAACCTAGATGAGGAAGAAACTCAGGGCCCAGACGCAGTGGCAGAGGCTTCTCGCAGGTTTCAGAAAGGCTAGGTGTGGCGGGCTTGAGGCCAGGTGACCGTGCTATGCTTGGGTGGCCATGGCTCCTTGTCCCTCCAGGAGGAGATCTCCAAGTATGACAAGATCTGTGAGGAGGCCTTCACCAGGTCCAAAGATGAGAAGATTCTGCACATCAAGCACTGGCTGGACTCCCCCTGGCCTGGTGAGCAGACCCTGCTGTGAACCCCGCAGGCACACTCCCTCCTCGGCTCCCTCTGTGACTGAGGCCTGTAAGGCAGAGGCCCTGCCCCTGGCATGTGGCCCACCTCAGCCTGTGCCTGCTCCTAGGCTTTTTCACCCTGGACGGGCAGCCCCGCAGCATGTCTTGCCCCTCCACCGGCCTGGAGGAGGATGTCCTGACGCACATTGGGAATGTGGCCAGCTCTGTGCCCGTGGAGAACTTCACTATCCATGGAGGTAACCAGGCGCACTTGACCATGGAACCCTGCAGGGGCCCCTCGTTGAAGGCCACTGCCCCTCACAACCTGTAACGAGGTCTCAGCTTGCTGAGGCACGGAGGGGGAGACTAGGATGGGGGATCAGCTCCATCTGGCCCCACTGCCTCCTGGTGGTGAGAGCCGTGCCAGCCAGGCTGCAGCACTGTGTGTGCCCCACAGGCCTGAGCCGGATCTTGAAGACACGCAAGGAGCTGGTGAAGAACCGTACTGTGGACTGGGCCCTGGCAGAGTACATGGCTTTTGGCTCGCTCCTCAAGGAGGGCATCCACGTCCGGCTGAGTGGCCAGGACGTAGAGCGGGGCACCTTCAGGTAAGGAGCAGAGAGCCCCACTCACCCTTCAGAATCACAGGTGCAATGAGCGAGTGGCTCTGTGCTACTTTGCCAGGGGGTGGCTGGGCCCCAGGGGCAAGATTGCTGCCCTCTCTGTGGAGAGCTGGGTCTGCTGACTAATCCCACTCCCATACCCAGCCACCGCCACCACGTGCTGCATGACCAGAATGTGGACAAGAAGACCTGCATCCCCATGAACCACCTCTGGCCCAACCAGGCCCCCTACACCGTATGCAACAGTTCCCTGTCGGAGTACGGCGTCCTGGGTGAGTGCCGTGGCCCACGCACGCTGCTCCTCTGCCTGCCGCTAGTGTCGAATGTGTCTGTTCTCCTGCTCTGCCGCAGGCTTCGAACTAGGCTTCGCCATGGCCAGTCCCAACGCCCTGGTCCTCTGGGAGGCCCAGTTTGGTGACTTCAACAACATGGCCCAGTGCATCATCGACCAGTTCATCTGCCCAGGCCAGGCCAAGTGGGTGCGGCAGAACGGCATCGTGCTGCTGCTGCCGCATGGCATGGAGGGCATGGTGAGCTCCACCCCAGGCTGCACATGCAGTGCTCATGCCCTATGCTTTGCGGGTGGAGGGGAGGAGTGTGCATTATGCCGAGGGGAAGAGAACAGGAAAAATAGGAGGATGGGAGCACCGCCCTCAGGCGCCCAGCCGGTGCAGCTCTGCTAACCTGTGTGTCCACTGCCAGGGCCCAGAGCACTCTTCCGCCCGCCCGGAGCGCTTCCTACAGATGTGCAACGATGACCCAGATGTCCTGCCGGTGAGGACACAGTCCCTTCCCTTCTGGAGCCTGCAGTGCAGCCTGCTGATCACCCCAGAGCAGGACAGTCAGGGGTGCAGGAAGCTAAAATGAGACTTGTGGGAAACTACTCCAGTAACTCCCCTTTAATGCAAAACAATTGCTACCCCGATTTTGATTATATGGAGACTTATTTCCTTATTGATATGTGGTATTTCCTTCTCTCTCCAGTTGGCTCTAAGCATTGTAAATAAGGTGGAGATTCTGATGTGTAATCTCTAAAGCCATCAGACAATCTATTTCCTCCAATAGTGCTCTCTATAAAAGATATGAGCACAGTCAGATGTTAGAACCAACAGCTCCAGGAGTGTCAGCTGAGTATAACCTCGAGGTAAAGGCTGACTCCCCAGGGCACAAAAATTTACATATCAAAACCGAAGCAACAGCCTCCTAAAACAATTCAGCTGCTACCTTAATTGAATTATGCAAATTGACCCTTGTGCATATCCTCATCTCTACATTTTGCAGAGATGCTTTTCTCCCCACCTGCCAGCCAGCTCAAGTTATGCAATTCCCACCACACTCACTGTCACTCATCCCTGAGCCACCCCCCTTCTTCACAAGATAAATTCTGGGAGAGGCTAGGATCAGGGCCTTTGTCCACACATCCTCACAAGGATTGGATTTAGGACCCCTTGGCTGCCCTAACTTGGAATATGTCTTAATGTCTTTACTCTCATTGTGGGTTTCATTGGAGGTGGTAGATTGATTGGGATTCCAATAATGTCTCAGTGGGATTGTAAATACAACTTTTTAGATTGTGAGGAAGACTACAAAGGGGATTATAATACTTGGGTGACTGCACACAATATTTGGGATTACAGTAGGGCTCCTTTCCCAGATATTCCTGTGTCACTCTGCAGCAGGCCCTAGGGGACATTGTTGCTGCTCTGGTTCAGGCATAGGCCTCAGGGGGAGAAGGCTTCCGGCAACTTTAACCATGCTCAGTTAATTAAGTGTGTAAATAAGCTCAAAGGAAATGATTGGTAGTCTGTAAGGAAAAGTAGAATCGGTTAGGCGGGACTGAGGCACCGTCCCCACCTCTGCCCGTCCTCCTTGCTGCAGGACCTTAGGGGAGCCAACTTCGACATCAGCCAACTATACGATTGCAACTGGGTGGTTGTCAACTGTTCCACGCCTGGCAACTTCTTCCACGTGCTGCGCCGGCAGATCCTGTTACCCTTCCGGAAGCCGGTCAGTGCCCAGGGCCTCCCCCATCCTGTCCTCAGAATGAGTCAGGTGCCATGGGCTCTGCTGGCTTAGACGGCATCTGCAAAGGGACATAGACAGGATGTGATGTCGGGGAGCCCGGCCCTTCTGCTGCCACCAGAGCAGCACTGCTTGTTGCTGTGCTGGTAGACATAGCTGCCTGCAGTGCTGTGGGAAGACAGCAGTGTTAGCAGGGAGTCACGGGGTACAGTACCAGGCCCGGGGGGAAAGGTAAGCCCGTCAGCCGGGTGTGAAGGACAAGTGGGGAAGACGAGCGAGGAGGGGCAAGAGCCAGCCTGCTGTCCGGGACACCACAGGCAACAGGCCTTGGCCATGCAGTGATGGGGTGAGGGGACCTTTGTGCCAGCACCACCAATGGGGCTTGGCAGGCTCGGGCAGCCCTGCAGGAGTGGACACCTGCCAAGGGAAGGTGACAGCAGATAGACAAGCTCCATCCTTCTCTGCCTCTCCTGAGTGAGCCCTCAGCAGGAGTCGGGGAGGCAGCACACCCTGTCCAGGCCTGAGTGAGGTGGGGCAGACCTGGTCGTCACTGGGAGACCATTCTGTCTTTCAGTTAATCGTCTTCACCCCCAAATCCCTCCTGCGCCACCCTGAGGCTAGAACCAACTTTGACGAGATGCTTGCAGGTAGGTGGAGGGGCCATTATCTTGGCGGAGGGTGGCAACCTGGGTGCTTGGCTGCCTCTCAGGCTTGCATGTGTGCCCGCCCTGTCCATGGTCAGATGTGGGATGTCGCATTTGGGCCTCATACAGGCAGTCAGAAAGTGGAGGTTCTGGAGCATGTCCACCTTTGGATTGCAAGATCAGGGCTGTGGGACCAGCATCTGGCCCTCTGCGGGGCTCCTTTTGCCCTGGGTAGGGCCCCTAAGGCCGACCTACACACAGAGAGCCAGTCCTGTGCACACTGCATGCTGTCTGCATCCTGGATCGGTGACCATGCACAGTGCTTCCTTGTTTAGCTCTTGTGTGCAGCACTGTTGGAGCGTGGGCCTACAGATGGCTCTCAGGTCTCTGTGTCCAGTTCTGGGTGTGTGACCACAAGCGCAGTGGCTGGACTGTATGCTAATGCTATTTTTAATTTTCTGAGGAGCCGCCAAACTCTTCCACGGCAGTTCTACACAACGGTCCAGCCTCCACATCCTCAGCAGTTGCAGGCGTGCGTGCGTGCGTGTGTGTGTGTGTGTGTGTGTGTGTGTTGGGTTTTGCTTTGTTCTGTTCTGTTTTATTTGAGCCTGGGTCTCACTCAAAATGCTCCCTCAGCTGCCCAAATGCTGGGCTCACACGTGTGGGCCAGCTCACCTGGCTGTGGATGTTTTTACATAGCCATTCTGTTGCCATTAAAGTGGCATTTTGGTGTGGTTTTAACGTGCATTTCTCTAATAACTAGTAGCATGGCGCATCTTTTCATGCATTTTTTGACCACTTGTATGTCTTTGAAGAACTATAAATCCTTTGCCCATTTCCAAGTTGGGTTGGTTTTTCTTGCGTAGTTTGAAGTTAGTATATTTGGCTCATCAGTCCTTTATAAGGCCTGATGTGATGGTGCACACTTGTAATCCCAGGCATCTGGGAGCCTGAGGGAGGAAGATCACTATGAGTTCAAGGCCAGCACAAACTGCATAACAGACACTGTCTCAAAAAGACCCCCCCAAAAAAACCTTTATCAGATTAATAACAAATGTTATCTCCTGTTCTACAAGTTGCTTCATTTATTTATTTTTTGAGAATGTCTTGTGAAGTTTTGCCCTGTTTTGTTTTGTTGTGACACTGGGAATTGAATTCACACTAAGCTACATCCCCATTCCTCCCCCCACCACCACCCTAGTATCAGGGATCAAACTTATGACCTCAAGCTTGCCAAGAAGGTGCTTATGATGCTGAGCTAAATCCCCCAGCCACCCATTCCTTTTTGTATTCTTTATTTGAGACATAGTCTCACGAAGTTTGTAACTCATCAGGCAGACGGTGCTCTCCTGTCAAGTGGCCCTGGTGCGCTGGTGGAAGTCCACCTGTCCTGGGCTCTGTTCTCCCCTGCTGGTCCATCTGTCCGAGCCATTGCCACGCTAGTGTGATTCTGGGATTTGGGGCAAAATACTGTATCGCAGAGGTTAAGGAGGATGCCCTTCCTACAATCTCAGATCTTCCATTCCAGACACAGCCTGTGTTTAGCTTTTGTTGCTGTGGGGTTAGAGATGGAACACGACCTTCATGGGGAGCTGCGTTCCTGGCTTTTTCCATATTTTATCCCAGGACTGGGTCTCAGCTTACCGCAGAGCCCAGGCTGCACTTGAGCCTGAGATCCTCCTGCCTTGGCTCCTGGGCACTGGGAGCACAGATAGGCACCTCCAGGCCAGGCCGAGGCTTCTGATGTTTGTGATGCATTCTTTAGGGTTCTCTGTATAGGGTCGTATCACCCATGAGCAGTGGTTATTTCTCTTTCTTTTCCATGTTCATATTTCTTTTTACTGTCTCTAAAGGTGAATGGCCAGAGTAGGCACTCGCCTGGCTGCTGGCTTCGCAGGGACCAGCAGCTTCTGGTCTCAGTGCTACACTTGTCCATGCAGCCCTAGCCCTACGTGGTGACCTTGGGGCATTCTCATCACTGGCTCTGTTCCTTCCTCTTGTTACCCCATGTGAGCCAGCCTGGCATGGTCTTCTCTTGCAGGGACACACTTCCGGCGGGTGATCCCAGAAGACGGCCCCGCGGCGCAGGACCCAGGTCGGGTGAAGCGGCTCCTCTTCTGCACCGGTAAGGTGTACTACGACCTTACACGGGAGCGTAAGACCAGGGACCTGGCTGAGCAGGTGGCCATCACAAGGATTGAGCAGGTGAGGGCCAAGCGTCACTGCCCAGCTACACTCTAGAGAACCCCTCCCCGAGGGTCCCCTCCTGACTTGACCCCTGTTCTGTCCCAGCTATCGCCATTCCCCTTCGATCTCCTGTTGGAGGAGGCGCAGAAGTACCCAAATGCTGAGCTGGTATGGTGCCAGGAGGAGCACAAGAACCAGGGCTACTACGACTATGTGAAACCGCGGCTGCGGACCACCATCAACCGCGCCAAGCCCGTCTGGTGAGGCTGAAGCCTGCAGGGATGGGGGGTGTCGGTGGAGCGCACTCGGTCGCTGCCCTCATCATCCACATCCCTGCTCAGGTACGTGGGCCGTGATCCCGCCGCTGCTCCGGCCACCGGCAACAAGAAAACCCACTTGACAGAGCTGCAGCGCTTCCTGGACATGGCTTTCGACCTGGACGCCTTCAAGAAGTTCTCCTAGATGCCCCAGGCGGGCAGGCGGTGGGGCCCCACCGCACAGAGCCCTGCTATTCCACTAAAGCATCAGCCTCAGGCGCCCCTCACTGCACTGCTCTCTCGCCACCACCATCCTGCCGCTGTTGCCCCCAAGACGCTGTTGTCCAGGCTGCCCACTGCTGCCCTTAGGCTGGTGGGGAGTGGCGGGAGGATGGCTCACCCCACCTCACCCCCAGAGCAGGAGTAGGGCCCTGGCTGACTTCCCAGATCATGACCATCCTTGTCATGTGGCAGGGTGCAGACACTCCACCTGGACTGGCGGGAGGGGGGGGGGGGCGGCTGTGTCTTACTGGGCTGAACCCAAGAAGCCCCAGGGAGCCTCAGCCCGCAGGGCTCACCAGGGCAGCCTTGGTATGGCTGGGCACCGTGGCACGGGCACTGTTCCCTGACATCCTTGAGAGTCCCAGTCTGGGCTCAGGGGCAGCATCCTATGCCACCCCTGGGATCCTATAACCAGTCACCAGCTGCTCCGGCCTACCCCCCGCCATTCATCTTCCGGCTGTACCCCAGGAACACAGTGGAGATGCCCATGCATCCTTTCCCTTGCTGTGCCAAAGCAGGTCAGGAGCCGGGAGCAGGGCGGGGTGGGCCAGCAGCCCTTTGTCCGATCACTCTGACCTCCACGGAGACAGATCCGATTTATTTATTTTGGTCAAAAAGAAAAAAAAACAAAAACAACTTTGCATTGCATTGGCTTGACCCATAAACTAAGTTATCCGTGGCTGTGTGCAGCTGTTCTGTGTCTCTGCCTCCTCCCTCATCTCTCGAAGCAGGGGTGCCTGGTGCCCATGTCTGGGAGTGGCATGTGGCAGGCAGGCACCCCCCACCAGGCCTGGACACCCCACGTGAGGGACAGTTTTGGCTCGGCCCCATTCTGCTCATGGCTCCCCCAGCACATTGTGCTGTTTGGGGTTTTCCTTCACTTCTGGTTGCCCCAGCCCTGTGCTTGTTCTTAGCTGTCTGCTCTCTTTTGGTGGGAGAGAGTACTTCACTGCAAGACAAGGTGAGGTGATCAGCTCACCGCACCAGAGAAGCGGTTGGGACCTGCTGAGTAGAGCTGGAGGTTCAGGGAGCACCCGTAGCTCCAGAGCCAGCGCTGGGCAGAGACTTCGCTCTGCCAGGTTCACAAAGCTGTCATGCGGCAGAGGGTGCTGGCCCTACAGGGCCCCTGGGACCTGCAGAGCCCCTCCCTCCTCCAGATCTGGGTGCCAGCTGTAGCCTGGGTCCCATTCCTGCCCAACTTCACCCTGGCCTCAAGGAATCAGCCTGCTCTGACGGAGGTGGCGCTGCCTGTGTCCCCAGGCCCCTGCTGGCCCAGGCTGGGCTGTGGGTCAAGGCTTGCATGGCTGAGTTCTAGAGCTGGGGAGGGAGGGCAGCCTGGCAGGCCATGAGGCCCTACCCACGGTAGTGGCTGAGATCCAAGGGGAGGCCAGCACCGAGCGCAGGTAGGAAAGGAGCAGGTGCCTTACCCCCCTCCCGCGCCCCCAGTCAGGGAATAGGTCAAAGATGGTGCGAGCAGGCAGGAATGCGCAGGTCACCCAGAGTGCAGGGGGTGGGTCTGGTCTCCCCAGATTTCCCATTAGCCAGGCTAGAGTCCCTGCCATGGGACAAGGTGCCTGGGACGCCAGGGGCTCCCCTGGGCCCCCAAGACAGTGGCTGCTGCTCATCTCCTAGGAAAGTGAAGCAGACCAGGGCTGTGGCTGCGTCACTTGGCTCCTTCCTCCCGGGACTCTGAGCCAAGTTGCCACCTTTCCCCTGCCTGTGGGTGCGCTACCCCTCCTTGTGCCCCACCCAGGTAGGGTCCCAGGTCCAGTTCCTTGCAAGGTGCTGGCTGCAGAAATGTGCACAGGAGGCAGGGACTTGAGTGCCTGGTGTGCACTCTCTGCAGATGTTATAAGGACCTGTCCTTCGTCATCTGCAGAAAGTTGGTCACCCCACTTCCACAGGGACTTCCCACAGCCTCAATGCTGCTGGCCCCTGCACCCTGCACCTCACTGTAGAAAGACAGTGTAACTGTTTGCACAGCCCCTTGAGGCAGACCAGCTAAGTATTTTGTTTTTGTTTTTGGTCTTTCTGAGACAGGGTCTGGCTATGCAATTCAGGCTGGCCTTGAACACGCAACAACCCTCCTGCCTCAGCCTCCCGAGTGCTCAGATTGTAGGTATGTGCACCTGGCCCAGCTGCCAAATAAGACTGAGGCCAGAGACACCACATTTCATCTTAGTTCTCACTAATGAGCAGTTGTCTGGCCATGTGGAGTCTCAGGGTGCTGGCAGGCACTGGGCACTGGTTGGGAGGAGCAGCATCTTCATCTCTAGGCCCCTGCTGGGCATCCACACCCAGCAACATAGGCATCCTGCACACCTGCGCATGCACACACAGGGTGCACAGCTTGGGGCCAGTAGGTGGGCCTCTCCCTCCCAGCTGAGTCTGCTTACCCTCAAGCACCCTTTACCACTGATGCAGCGGAGACCCCGAGCCTGATGTGACAAAAGCACCCGGGCCCTGACTGCCCCTGGCCCCAGGAGCCCAGCGCAGAGCCTGTGCTCCCCAAAAGGACCCTGCTGCAGCCCTGTCAGTATTGCTGCAACAACTTCTGTCAATCACGCAGCTCCCTTCTGGATGGCCCAATCTCCAGGATGGACAGTAGACACCTGGACACCAGCGTTCACTTCGCACAGACCCAGGGGCTCAAATTTGGACCAAGCAGCAGAATTGCATTTGGAACAATCAGGAGGCTGGTCTCAAAAGGCTTGAGTTCAAAACAGTTTGGGCCAATCAGGCCTGCAGCTGTTCAGGAGTCCATTCCAGGCCTCCGAGGCTGGGGGCCTCTGGGATGTGCAGTCCCTGGCTGCAGCACAGCTCCTGCCCAAATAAAGCCTGGCTCCAAGAGTCCTTCCTGATTTATTTCTTAGGAAACTTGGTCCTAAAAAGTCCTTTAAAACCACCTGGGATCCTTACTCCAAGTAGTGTGGACCAAGCAGCCACTGTACTCCCGCCCCACAAAAAAAAAAAAAAAGTATAAGCACTGGGTGTGGTGGCACCCCTATAATGCCAGCACTCACTCTGGAGGCTGAGGCAGGAGGATGCTGGGAGTTCGAGGCCAGCCTGAGCTACCTAGTGAGGTCCTATCACAAAAACAAGCTCAAAGTATGAAGGGATACTAACCCTAAAGAACTCTGGAGACAGTAGCAGGCAGAATGTAGACTTGAAACCAAGTGAGGACCTCTTGCCTTAGCTGGCATCAACCTGTGTCCACCAGCAGCAGCAGACCAACAACCAGCCAAGTTGGTCAGTGGCACATAGCGTTTATCTGCTGTCCTCAGGCAGCTCCAGGGCCCAGAGCTGGAACACTAAGGCTGAGGAATTTTGGCAAGCAAAGCCCAGGGGAGCTACACAGCTGCTTTTTACCGACTGGGGATTTCTGTCTGCGTTGACCAAAAGAACCCTTAGCCCAGATTAATGGAGAGCTGGGCTGGGGTGCAGGCCCTGCCCACACTGAGCTGCATCCCCAGCCCTTTTTATTTTGAGATAAGGCCTCCCTAAGTCACCAAGTTACCCTGGCTGGGCTCAAGTTTGGGATCCTCCTGCTTCAGCCTCCCAGTATTCTGGGATTACAGGGGTGTGGGCACATACCTAGCATCAGTGTAGGCATTGGCCCTAAGGGTGAAGAGACAGCATGCCTCAAGACCTGTAGGCACCAAGCAGCAAACCGAAATGTCCCCACCTAGCCAGCCTGAAGGAATTGGTTAACCTGAGTTGCTGGGCCGTGTAGCAGAATTATCAGTTTCATTAAATGTCCACCCTAACGTCCATGATATTTTAAAGTCCCATTACAGAAGGGAAGGGCACATGCCTGATGTGAAACCAACAATCACCTCCAGAAGGCCACTGTGCCACTTCTGTGTTGAGCTGGCCTCTTTCCCGTTGATATGTCATTTCCATGTGCAGGGACAGCCGCCTGACAAACTGACACACAGACCAGTATTCTCACCCAGGTAGCTGACCAGCACTTAGTCTAGAAACACAGAGGTGAGGCTGCCACCTCAGGTAAGATTTCAAGGCAGGGATACAGCTCAGTGGCATCGCCCCTGCCTGGCAATGGCCAGGTCCTGCGTTTGATTCCTGGTACAAGGGGAAAAAAAGATTCCAGCTTTTGTGAGGAAATTCAAATTTTGGAAAACTTGCGTTTACCACCATGACTTTAATGCTTTCCCTGGATTTAAAGAATGCTGCCAAGCCTGGCAAGCTGACACACGCTTGTAACACCAGCACTCTGGAAGGCTGAGGCAGAAAGATTACCACCAGTAGGAGGCCAGCTCTTGTTTCTTGTTTTTTTTTTTTTTTTTAATTCTTTTTATTTATTAAAGTATAAAAAGAAGAAGAAAAGTACAACAAACTTGCAAAATGCATCAATCAGGGGGCAACAATAGTGTATACTTGTACTTGGTCTCCCCAAATCATTTACCCAGAGCACAAGACAACTGTGTTCAATCATCTGAACAAGGGCTGGGGTTTTAGTTCAGTGGTGTAAGTGCCTGCCCAGTTAGCAAACACGAAGTAGTGAGTTCAAGCCTCGGAACAAAACAAAGTGCCTGAAGCTCAGAGAAGTCGGTCATATAACTATCTTAATTATTTTTTATATACATACACATAACAATTTTTCTCTCAGCTTCTCACACTGTTTCTGTGTTTTGAGATGAGGTCTTGCTATATAGTTCAGATCGGTGTTGAACTTCCCATGTAGCCCACGGCAGCCTAAAACTTGTGACCTCGTGTCAGACCGCCTTGGATTCCAGGCCTGCACCACCGCTCCTGGTTTAGACAACTCCGTTGGGGTGCAGTGTCACCAGGGGTCCTTACAGGAGCGGAGATGGCTGCAGCATCTGGCTTCTCGCTCTTGTAGTTGCAGTAGGGTGCTGTCCGGCTTGTCGAGAGCACAGCAGCAGGGCGCCGCCCCTGCGCCCCTGCAGCCCCAGCGGCAGCGAGGTAGGGAGGTCAGCAACAGGCATGGCTCAGGGTGTCAGTGAGTTTATCCCAGCCAGTTGTGGCTGACGTCAGCAAATGCCTGATCCCAGAAGTTTGATCCCAGCTGGGGCAACACAGCAATATCCTGTCTCAAAAACAAAAAATTTAAAAAATAGAAATACAAGAATAAGAATTTAGGGGAAGGGGCACTACTGGGGATTGAACTCATGGCCTTTGTACTGAGCTGCATCTTCCCAATCCTTTTAAAAATTTGGGTCAGAGTACCATTCAATTGGCCCAGCTGGCTTCAAATTCAGTCTCCGCCTGCCTCGGCCTCCCAGAGTGCTGGAATTACAGTTCACCGCCACACCTAATTGGATAGTATTGATTTCTGTTATGTATTATGAAATCTTCTCTAGTTACTGGGGAAAAAATCTGACTTCCTGAAGATTTCCCTGTAAAACCAAGTAAAATAAGAATCTATGGTAGCTCTTCAAAAGTTTAAAGCTTAAAAAACAAAACTTTAAAAAGTATTTTTTGGTTTGAGACATGATCTTGCTTTGTAGTCTAGGCTGACCTTGACTTCACAGTGATCCTCCTGCCTCAGCCTCCTTAGTGCAGGGATTATAGCTGCACCCCACCACACCTGGCTTCTAGGGCCAATTTTGTGTTTACAGAGTCCAGCCCTAAAATTGCCATATTGATGTCTGTACCATTTCTTCAGTGAACTAATGATTCTCCCCAATTTTTTTTTTTATCGGTACCAGGGATCGAACTCACGACTACGCACTTGCAAGGCAGGCGCTTATGCCGCTGAGCTAAATCCCCAGCCCCTAGGGAAGAAATTTCAACAGTGTTAAAAATTGATGTGTGAGGGGCTGGAGATTTAGCTCAGCAGCATAAGCGCCTGCCTTGCAAGCAGGCAGTCGTGAGTTTGATCCCTGGTACCGATAAAAAGGAAAAAGACCAAAAAAAATTAATGTGTGGTATCCATAGGCAGAAAACTAATGGGAGCCATATGGTAGAATATTACTGAGCCATGAAAAGGAAGTTCTACCATGGAGAAGCTTAGAAGACATGATACTGAATGAAATGGTCACAAAGACACCCACTGTAGGAACTCCGGTAAAAGGTTTAGTGGGCACATGGGAGCAGCTAGGGCTAGGGAAAAGAAAAAGCCCTGGAGAGCTATGGCAGCCATGGCTATATAATGGATATGGTTAATGTCACATAGCTGAACACGTGAAAATGACCAAAATGATAAATTCTGTCCATTTTGTGACAAAATAATAACCGTTGGTTACTGGGAGTATATGGACTTTCTAAACTTAGGCAAAGTTCAGAATAGTGTACAGGGTAGTAAGAATGCTCCCAGGTTGTGGGCACTGGAGTCTCCTTCTGAGGTGGTTTCTAGAGTCCTTCTGACCTGAGCAAATAACTGGTCAAAACAAACACAAACAGGGGCTGGGGGTTTAGCTCAGCGGCATAAGCACCTGCCTTGCAAGCAGGCGGTCGTGAGTTCGATTCCCGGTACCGATAAAAATGAAAAAGACAAAAAAAAAAAAAAAAACACAAACAGCAGTGAGTTGTTTTGTTTTTTTTGTATTGTTTTGTTTTGTTTGAGATAAGGTTGCACAGCTGGGCGTGGTTAAGCGTGGCTAAGGCCTGTAATCCCAGCATTCCTTGCAAGTTCCAGACCAGCCTGGGCCTCAAAGTGAGCTCAAGGCCAGCCTGAACTGCATAGAGAGACCCTGTCTCGAAAAAAAGACATAAGGTTGTGCTATGCAGTTCAAGCTAGCCTCAGATTTGCAGAGATCCTCCTGTCTCAGCTTCCCATGTCCTAGGATTATAGGCGTGTGCCACCATGTTCTGCAGTGGTGAGGTTTTACATTAAAGGAAGGAAAAGAGGTTCTGCAGAACCAGTTTGGGCCAAGGAGAAGCAGGAAAAGGGTGAGTGCAGGACAGAATACAGTGGCCCGAAAAACCCGCAGGAGCTCTCATCAGAAGTCACCTGTAGGGCCTTGGGACCTGCTTTGCACATGTGCCCTAGATTCATAGTTAACAGGTCATGCCTACTCCTCCGACAGTTTTGCCAGGCCCTAGTGTGCTGCCTCAACAGTGCTAGAAAGGTTCACACAGCTCAGGGAGAAGCTCTCTGCCTTGGGTCCAAGGCCCTGATGGAGGTGAGGCACAGAAGAGCAGACTCGGTGGGGAGAAAGGTAACTTGTTCAGGGAAATTGGGCTTTTTACCTTTTCTTTCTGGTGTTATGGATTGAACCCAGGGCCTCTGCATTGATCTACATCCCGGTTCTTACCTCTCCAAAAAAAAAAAATTTGAGACAGGGTCCTCTTGCCCCAGCCTCTCAAGTGCTGGGATTACAGGCCTGCATCTTCAAGCCTGGCTCAGTGTTTAATTTTGAGACAAGACCTCATCAAATCGCTTAACTGCCTGGCCTGGGCTTGAATTTGCAATCCTCCTGCCTCAGCCTTCTGGAGTGAGATTACAGGGATGCTGGTTAGGATTAGGGTTGATTTCCTTCAAGTGCCTGTTCACTAATGACAGCACAGTATCTAGGCTCTCCTCTGATACTCGTGTTCAGTCGGATACCAGGAGAGTCTCAGGATGACAGGGCTGCAGACACCAGGACAACAGCGGGGCCAGGGAAGGGGCCAGGAGCCAGGCTCAAGCAAAGTTCGCTCCGGCCCCGCCTCCCGCCCGGCCCCGCCTCGCCCCGGCATCCTAGCCCCGCCTCTCGTCTCGGCCCCGCCCCTAAAGGTTCCTCCCCGTCGCCCTGGCCCCGCCTCCACGCCAGCTCCGCCCCGGCATTCCGGCCCCACCTCTATGCCCGGCCCCGCCCCCGGTGGACAGCGAGCAGGAAGCGCGCAGTGGCTCCCTACGACGTCGCGTTCCGAAAGGTGTGAGGGGAGAAGGAGCGCGGGTCGCGGTCTGGCGCGTTTCCCACTCGCCTGGCCGCCAGGGGCCCGGTCTCGCCCTCACTCTTGCCCTCGGTTGCGGAGGCCCACTGACGCCTCCGCCCGAACGGCGGCTCGGGGCTCGACTGCTCTGGCCTGGAGGCGGGGCCGGCGGCGCGGCGTCATGCATATGCATGAGCAGCGCGGCGGCGGCTCCATTGTGCCCTCGGCGGGCGGCGGCGCGATGGCGCGGGCGGCGGCCCCGGGTCGGCGGGCGGTGCGGAGGGCGGGCTGAGCGCATGGAGCGGCGCGGGCCGGGGGCCGGGCCGGGCCGGTCGAAGGTGAGCAGGATCCCGGGGGCGCCTGGCGCGCGGGCGCGGGCAGGTACGGGGCGGGGGCGGGCAGGTGCGGCTGGCAGGTGTGGGGCCCCGGCACCCTCGCAGGGATCGCGGCCGGGTCGGGCGCCCACCTGCTGACCCGCCGCGCGCGATCGAAGCCCAGTCGTCTTCAGCTCAGGTTCGGACCGTCGCCCCTCCCAGGCCTTTGTCGGGTGTTGGCAAGGAGGCCGCCAGGCCCAACCTGGGGTCTCACCTTCGCAATGGCCCTCAGGAGGCTGGGGTGGGCTGAGGGCCTCTGGAAAGAGGATGCTCTGATTTGTCCCCTACCCCGGCGGTGGTGCTCACGGGGACGCCTTTTCCAGATCGAATCTGTTGAAGATTAAAGACGGGGGTGTCCTACTCTCATGGGCTACTCCAAACCCCACCTCCGTTCCCCCAACACAGATGCCACGGCCTCACCATCCAGGGTCACCCAGCACCTGCCTTGGCCTTTCCCATTGTCCTGTCCCTACCACCCAGAGCCGCCGCTGCCTCCCTTCTCCCCGGGGTTCCGTTTTTCGTGTAGTCAGACATCCGTGGTGATGTCTTCAAGGTATTTGTGTTATTGCAGAAGATTTCACAGGGACATGGAACATGTGACTGGATCTGAGACTGGTGCACACAGGGAGGGTGGCCACAGCCTCACCATCTAGTCCAGGCAGAGGAGGACTGAGGGCCTCCCTGGCGCTCCCTTGAGAGCTGTAACAGGAGAAGTGAGGGGACCCTGAGTTCACCTCGCAGCGCTGACCTCAGAGCCCCTGTCACACCCAGGGCTGGTACCGGCTGGAAGTGTAAATGAAAGGAAGCAGGCGGAGACTTCTGAAGGACAGGCCCGGCGTGTCTGGGGAGCATCCTGATTACTGGGGTTGGTTGCTCTTCAAGGGCTGATGACATAGAGGTGGTCATGTGTTCCCAGTGCCATAGTGGCCACAAGATACTCATCTGACAAACCTAGGTTTGGGTTGGGCCTTCAGCCATTTACTAGGCTGTCCCACACCTGGGTCACTGGTCAGTGGATCTCTCGGGACTTATTGGTGAAGTCTGCTATCCCAACTTTTACCTCCTCCCTTGGGTGGCTCAGTGTGCATGTCCCATAAGTAGAGGAAAAGGACCTCTGACCCCCTATGCACGTCATCACCCCCTTTTGGCACTGAAGACCCCATTTCTGCCACTTCCAGAGCTGTGTTTGTTGGTTTGTTTTGGACAAGGGTATCCCTGTATTGTCCAGGCTGGTCAGGACTTCCTGGCTGAAGAGTTCATCCTGCCCCAGCCTCTCTCGGGTTAGGGTCCAACCCTGGGTCCTCAGAGGCAGTGAGTCCTCATTGTGGCCTGTTAGGAAGTGGTGGCCAGCCATGGGCTGTAATCTTGGATTGTGCCATACTTACTTGATCCTGAAGGTGCTACCCAGACCTGCTGAGATGGATGGAGCCAGGGAAGTTGGGGTGCAGCTACCCTGGGACACCCAAGGTGGTAGAAAGCAAGTTCCCTGAGTTCTCTTTCTAGAGGAAGATGGGACCTAACCCCCAGTGAGCTTACGGCCGTGTTGACTAACCCCAGGCCAGAGCAGTTGAAGCTGACACCTGGGGACAGCCAGGCTGAGGGTTCACCTTCTCTGGGACCCATCTTCTTCTCAACCCTGTGCGCACCTAATTCGCTGTGTGTCAGGAGCATAGGGTCACAGGAGGCCAGCCTTGAGGGCTGGGATCTTCCCGGAGAGGGGCTGGAGGTGTTATTTCAGGGGCCCAGCAGGAAACCCTCCCCACGCAGATGAGTGTTTGGGGGAGGGGAGGACTGGAAATGTCTGTGGTCTGTGTCCCACAGCAGAGGAACATCATGGGTGGAATTCCCCAGCCCCATGTGACACAGGAGGCTGCGGGGGGGGGGGGGGAGCGGACAGGCGCTACCCTGCCCTACACCTGCCCGGGTCTCTGTGTTTCCTAGATGGGAGGCACTCATACGGGTCAGTGACACATCAACCACGGAAAAAATTTAAGACTGGGACCCTGACCCATCCTAGTGGGTGGCACAAGACAGTCTGAGAGCTGACAGGGATGCACTGGAGTTGGGGAGCTGCTACACGGAGTGACCTGAAATGAGCTGGTGGTGCCACTGCCCACCTGGTCTCCCCAACCCCGTGTGCCTGAACAAGCTGGGTTGACCTGACCAACTCTGGAGTGGAGAAGCTGTCTAGGTTACTCTTCAGAGACAGAAGTAGAGCTGCCACCACCACTGCTGGTGGCTTTGTAATTAACATTCTTATTTCAAGATAATTGTAGAGGGGCTGGGGATTTAGCTCAGCAGCATAATCGCCTGCCTTGCAAGCAGGCAGTCATGAGTTCGATCCCTGGTGCCGATAAAAATGAAAAAAACCAAGAAAAAAAAAAAAAGATAATTGTAGAGTCACAGGCAGTTCCAAGAAATAACAGAATAAGGTCCCTTGTATCCTTCGCCCAGTCTCCCCAGCGGTAACATTTTGCAGAGCTGGTACCTCGTCATCCCAGGACACCACATGGATACAATCCTGGGCTGCTCCCCTGGCTGGCCAGGCTCCCCACCCCCACCCCCCCACTGCTGGCGAATTGACAGAAACAGGAGATCAGTGCCTCCCCATTGGTGTTAAACCTCCTATGGCAACCACCAGTCTGCTCTCATTTCCCTGATTTTGTCGTGTCAAAAATGCCAAATGACAGCACCATGCAGGGTGTCGCCTTGTGGGGTTGGCTTTTTCCACTCAACAAAGTTCCCTGGAGATTGAGCCCAGGCTGTAGTGTGTTAGCGCTAGTTTATTCTTTTCTCTGGCTTCCCCTACAGGTAAACCACAGTTGGTTTAACCCTTTGTCCATTGAAAGACATCTGGGCTCTTTCTATTCTTTGGCTATTGTAAATTAAAGCTGCTAGAAGCATTCATGTACAGGTTTTCATGAGAACCTAACTTCTTGTTTGTCTGAGATAAATGCCCAGGATTGCAGTTGCCAGTGGGCCCAGTTTGGTAAGAATTGGCTAGCCAGGTATGGAGGTGCACACTGGAAATCAGCACTCTGCGAGGCTGAGGCAGAAGGATCGCTGTGAGTTCAAGGCCAGCTTGGTCTACAAAGTGAGATGAAGGTTAGTCTGAACTACATAGCGACCCAAAAAACAAAAACAAAACAGTAGGTCTGAAACATTGACAGTCCAGTTCCTCCATGTCGTTGTCTTCTGGATTATGCTTTTTGGTATCAGGCTTAAGAACTACTTGGTCTAGATGCCAAAGACTTTTTTCCCATGCATTTTCCTAAGTATTTTATGGTTTTGTATTTCACATTTAAACCTAGAAAGACCAAATCCATTTTGAGTGAAGTTCAGCATAAATTGTAGAGTTTGGGTTGTCTTTGCTTTGTTTTCCTCCGAGTCCTGGGCCCTCCCACACAGCCCCAGCCCCTCCCACTCCTGTAGTGTTAGGTTTGCTTTCCTTACTGTCCACTTGTCCCAGCAGTTTGTTGGGGGAGGGCTGTCCTCCCTGTTTTGAATTGTCTGTACCTTTGGATCTGTCATGTGGCTGCTCTGGTCCCTGTCCCGAGTCTTGTCCCACAGACCTGATGACCCTATCTGTTCTAGCTGTTGAAACCTGTGAGTTGCTCCAGGCCCCATTGAACAGGTCCAGACCTGTAGGAGTCTGCCAGGCTGCAGGACCCCTTCGCACAGGGTCACACTCCTCCTGCCAGGCTATAGGATGGGGATGCTGCCCTCGGTAGGCTGGCCAGGCTCTGCTGGCTCCCTATCCTTCATGGCTTTGGGTCCAGGCTGCACTTGGCCTGGGGAGGGGCACCTGAGAGCAGGGCATCTCCCTCCCTGTTAGAGCTGGGCCAGGAAGGGTTCAGGCTGCCCAGGCAGCGCCAACATAGTTCCTTACCTCTTCCCTGAGCCTGGCTGCCCTGCTGGTCCCGCCTTGCCGGTGATGGGCTGAGGGTGAGGCCCCATTCAGCACACAGGTGTGGCTACTGATCTTGGGAGCAAGATAGGCCCTGTGGGTGTTGTGGTGACTGGGTGGAGGCCACTAAGGTCAGCACAGGGCAGGGGGACAGTGAGGCCCAGAATGACTCACAAAGGGCCACCCCCGCTGGACTGTGTGCCCCAGGGGTCAGGCCAGGAGGAATGGATGTGAAGGTGGCCCCAGATGTGTTAGGGCCAAAAATGGTGCCCAGTGGGTAGCTGGTGGCATTTGGGCACAGACTGGAGGCCTCCCCCAGCTCAGTGAGTGGGAGGACAGGCCCTGGACAGTCCCCACATCAGAGTCCCTCCATGCGTCAGGCTGGCTGTCCCTATCCCATCAGGAACTTCCTGTGTGCTGACAGAAGGGCTTGCAGGGAGCAGCACTGCCTGCCCAGCCTGTGTCCCCCTCCTGAGGGGTCCTTGGCCCTGTCACCCACAGGGCACCCATCTTTGGTTTGGACAGAGTGGATAGCATGGGATTCAGCAGCCTATTGCAGCATGACCAGGGCTGTAGGTGGCAGGGCTGGGTCCCGGGCTTGTTCCTTCTGGGCAAGTGCCAGTCTCTACTGCCAGGCCCCAGCCATCTGTGGAGGAAAGAGCGGCCCTGGTGGCCCTGGGGTCCCTCTATTCTGCACCTGAGCTCGCTTTCTTTCCCTCTTTCCAGCAGCCAGAGCATCAGAGTCTCCCATACGCACTGGCAGACCTGGCCTGCAGGCTGCTCTGTCGCCAATGAACTCCATGAACCCCATGAAACCCACCTTGCCCCCGGCGCCACACGGGTGAGTGTGGCCCCCGTGGTTGCCCCGAAGGCCCTGGGCCAGCTCTCAGCCACTGTGGCCTCACCAGCCAGTCTCCCTGCAGTGATGCTTCATTCGCATACGAGTCTGTGCCTTGGCAGCAGAGCGCCACTCAGCCTGCCGGGTCCCTCTCCGTGGTCACTACTGTGTGGGGAGTCGGCAACGCAACACAGAGCCAGGTGAGCACAGCCCCAGGCTAGGAGGTCAGATCCTTCCCAGACCCGGGGAGCAGGGAGGTTGGGGGCTGGGGTGTGCAGGTGGCTATCAGGCCTCCAGCGCCTGGGTGCTGGGACTTCCACCTGTTGTGGGTGTCACACCCCCTCCAGGGCAGGCCTCCTGGTTTCGCCTGCTGCAGAGGTGCAGTTGGTTCCCTCTGGTGATTACCACTTCCTTGTAGGTTCTGGGGAACCCCATGGGCCCTGCTGGAAGCCCCCCTGGTGGCTCCATGATGCCTGGCGTGGCAGGTGGCGGCCCCGCCTTGACCTCCCCACAGTGTCTGGGACAGCAGGCCTTTGCCGAAGGTGGTGCTAGCAAGGGCTACATGCAACAAGGCGTGTACAGCCGTGGGGGCTACCCGGGGGGCCCCAGCTTCACCACTGGGTAAGCAGGGGCCTCACCTGGCAGGGGTGGAACATGCCAGCCCAACGGGTGCGTTGCAGTCCGCTCCTGCAGCCACCGCAGGGGGCCAGACAGCATAGGTCCCCAACCTGGAGAGCATGGCTGTGCTGTGTCCCCTGTAGGTATGCGGGTGGCCCTGGGGGCCTAGGACTCCCGACACATGCCACACGACCCTCTGCTGACTTCACACAAGCAGCAGCTGCAGCTGCCATGGCTGCCGCCGCAGCCACTGCCACCGCCACCGCCACTGCCACCGTGGCCGCCCTGCAGGAGAAGCAGAGCCAGGAGCTGAGCCAGTATGGAGCGGTGAGGTGTCCCAGCGGGTGTCACGCTTGCCCAGCACCATGGGACCAGGGTGGCTCGGGGAAGCAGTGGCACCCCAGCATCCGAGGGTCGCAGTGCAGGCCCAGCCGGTGTCAGGGTGGGTGTCATGTTTCCTGAGCCCTTTGTGGGTACACCTGGGCCATGCCTTTTTCTTCTTTTCCCAGATGGGGACCGGACAGACATTTAACAGCCAGTTTCTGCAGCATGGAGGGCCCCGGGGGCCCAGTGTCCCCCCTGGCATGACCCCTACCGGCATGGGGGGCATGATAGGCCCCTCTACCCTCTCCCCCATGACAATGAACCCCACCCGGGCAGCTGGCCTCACATCCCTGTATGCAGGGCAGCGCTTGCCCCAGCACAGCTACCCTGGGTCTGCCCAGGCCCAGCCACTGCCCCGACAGGGTGTCAAGAGGACCTACTCTGAGGTGAGGGGCAGCTCCTGGTGCCCTGCTGAAATCAACTTCTGGCCCTGCTACCAGCACCGTGCCCTCACACTTCTCTCCTGCTGCATGCCTTTCCCGCAGGTGTACCCAGGGCAGCAGTACCTGCAAGGTGGCCAGTACACACCCAGCACTGCCCAGTACGCGCCTGGCCCTGGGCAGCCCCCTGCCCCCTCCCCCTCCTACCCTGGGCACAGGCTGCCTCTGCAGCAGGGCCTAGGCCAGTCCCTGCCTGTGCCCGGCCCCACGGGACTGCATTATAAGGTAGGGCCAGCTCCCAAGTGCCTTGGGACACCACAGGGACCCTGAGGCAGTCCCGCCCTCAAGGACTGCTGGGCTGGGGAAGGTGGGGAGCGCTCACTGGGCTCAGCAGTGCACAGGGACCCCTGTGGGGCCACTGCGTCTACCTCCAAGCAGCAGGCAGAACAAGGCCCTTCTGACAACCCTTATGGGAACGGGTCCCCAGTGCCTTGAGTGCTAGGGAAGGTAGAGGCAGCGGGAGGGGAGGAGGAAGTGTGATGTCTGAAGCCCTCATCCAGCCCTCCCTTTGCTGTGGTGGTCATTTTCACCTGAGGAGATGTAGGTTGTGTGGGTGTACAAGAGTATAGGAGGATGTACAGTGTAGTCCCCCTGGTGTACAGACATCTAGGCTCTAGCCCAGGAGACCCGGCCGGGCTTCTAGGCTTGGGCCCCAGGCACACGCATTCCTCTTTCCTGCAGCCCGCAGAGCAGTTCAACGGCCAGGGTACCAGTTTCAACGGGGGCAGCGTGAGCTACAGCCAGCCTGGCCTGAGCGGGGTATGGGCATGGGCACCCAGGAGGCTCCCAGGGCAGGCACCCCACCCCAGCCACCATGCCATCCTGATAACTGTGCTCTGCCCTACAGCCTGCTCGGTCCATCCCTGGCTACCCCAGTTCCCCACTTCCGGGGAACCCCACACCACCCATGACGCCCAGCAGCAGTGTCCCCTACATGTCTCCAAGCCAGGAGGTCAAGTCTCCCTTCCTGCCTGACCTCAAGCCGAGCCTCAGCACATTGCACCCCTCACCCTCTGGTGAGTGTCCAATCACCAGTAACACTTCGACAAGGTAGGGTGGTCTGGAGCTGGGGGAGCTACTGGCCCCCAAGAAGCCCCAAGGGTCCTTCCTAAAAAGCCCTTCCCCATCTAGAAAAATACCTACCATGAATAGAACTAATAACAGAATAATTTTGGGGGACTTCTGATCCTTAAGACCTCTTGCTGGTTGAAAACCCCTCCTTCCAGGGTGACCACAACAGCAGGAGTGGGGTCCTGACACCCTCTGGGAGGTACATAAGGACAGGCACCTGCTCACCCAGCCCTCTTACACACCTGTCTGGGAGGGACACTGGTAGGGAAATTGAGGCAGGGCCAGCCAGGCCTTGTCCCCCTCTGATGCCTGGTGCCTGCCCCCAGGCGGTGGCCCCTGTGACGAGCTGCGGCTGACCTTTCCGGTGCGGGATGGGGTGGTCCTGGAGCCCTTCCGCCTGCAGCACAACCTGGCCGTGAGCAACCACGTCTTCCAGCTGCGTGACTCGGTGTACAAGACCCTGATGCTGCGGTGAGCTGGGCCAGCACCCCAGCAAGTCCCCACCTCCCCCCAGCAGGCCCCCACCCAGCCTTAGCCCCAGCCTCTCTTCACAGGCCTGACCTAGAGCTGCAGTTCAAGTGCTACCACCACGAGGACCGGCAGATGAACACCAACTGGCCAGCCTCGGTGCAGGTCAGCGTCAATGCCACCCCACTGTCCATCGAGCGTGGGGACAACAAGACCTCGCACAAGCCACTCTACCTGAAGCATGTGTGCCAGCCGGGCCGGAACACCATCCAGATCACCGTCACAGCCTGCTGCTGCGTGGGTGTTGTGGGCTGGGCGGGACATCTAGCTACTGATTGCCAGGCTCTGGGTGTGGGGAGGCCTGGCCTGCGGGTGGTGTCCCCCAGCAAGAGCCTCCTCCAGAGCTTTTTTTTTTTTTTTTTTTCTTTGATATCAGAGCTCAAACTCGTGATCTTGTGCTTGCCAGGCAGGCTCTTATACCACTGAGCTAAATCCCCGGCCCCTAGAGCTTTGTCCTTGAACCAGTGCGTTATTGCTGCTTATTACCAGCTCCCCAGAGCCCTAGGAATATCGTAGTGAGGGGAAATTAACTAAGTTTGGTACTCATACTAGTTATACAAGAGGAACAGAGCTGGGGCAAAAGCTCTCTGGCCAGGTGCTCCAGGTTGCTTCAACCGACCCCACACGGGCCTGGAGCTGTTTGCAAGCCATGGGGAGTGAAGGGGGTCCTGTGGGTGGGACAATCTGATGCCACCTTCTGCGGGACCCTCAGGGTTTTAACTCAGTCCTGGGGCCACCAAGGGAGTGCCATGAACAGGGGCTGTCCCGGCAGCTTCAAGTGAGTCCCCGGCAGTGTTTGGTGGACAGGCTATGTACGTTGTTGAGACAGGTGTATGGGCAGGAGCCGAGGCGGTTGACTCACAGAAGTGTAGGAAACATGTAGGCTGTACATCAGCACTGGCTGCGGGAACACGCCATCCCTGCCTCAACACCATGTCCCCTGATGGGACTGAGCTGTGTCCTGTCACCTTGCAGTCGCACCTCTTCGTGCTACAGCTGGTCCATCGCCCATCTGTGCGCTCCGTGCTCCAGGGCCTCCTCAAGAAGCGCCTGCTGCCAGCTGAACACTGCATCACCAAGAGTGAGTGTCCCTGCCCTGCCTCCTAGCCTGGGCCACCCTAGGCCCCTGGCACAGCACACCGTCTCCTCGCCTGTGTGGGCTCTGTGCTGGGGACCTAGTCACAGCCTCTGCATGTTTCCGATCTCCACTCAAGTGCTTTTCCCTGTTACTGATAGTAAAGCGGAACTTTAGCAGCGGTACCATCCCTGGCACCCCTGGGCCCAACGGAGAGGATGGGGTAGAGCAGACAGCTATCAAGGTGTCCCTGAAGTGCCCCATCACCTTCCGCAGAATCCAGCTCCCTGCCCGAGGCCACGACTGTCGCCACATCCAGGTATGTGGTCCAGGGCTTTGCTGGAATCCAGTGCCTAAGAATTATCTTAAAGCTGGACGGGGTGGTGCATGCCTGTAATCCCATCCCTCAAGAGGCAGAGGCAAGAGGATTTTCAGCTCCAGGCCAGAGTGGACAATGTAGGAAGATTTTCTTGAAGCAAAAAAAATGTTTGAGTTGACCTTAACTGCCAGGGCATCAGGACAGTCCTGCTGTGGAAACCCTTAAACCCAGCTGTTTCCCTGAGCCTGGGATTTGGTTTCTTCTAGTGATCATTTATTATGCTTTTACTAGCTGCTGTATCCATAGGATTCCATTTTTAAAAGTTGTACAATGCAGGGCTGTGAGAGCCTGGCCTTGGTGGAGACCTTGAAAGTAGCCCTGCCCCTGTGGCTGCGATGCCACCACTGACTGTGCAGTGGTTTTGCCTTTGGCGCCGCCAGGCTGTTTTCTTGTCAGTGCAGCTGCCCATTCTTCCCTGGGCTGTGGGGCTTTCTGGTACTCAAGAGGTCTGCTTGGGGTTCTCGGCTCCGACCCACAGAGAGAAAACGGCAGCCTTCGAGTCCTGCGCATGCATGTGAAGCCCCAGAAACAGCAGGTGGCAGGATGCCTGGCCCAGCCCACACTGAGCACACCCCATGTTCCCATCTCTGTCTCTGCAGTGCTTTGACCTGGAATCATACCTGCAGCTCAACTGTGAGAGGGGGACCTGGAGGTGCCCCGTGTGCAAGTGAGTCCCACCCTGAGTGACAAGGGGCGCTGTTGTCCTCCCAAGGCATCTGCAGACAGGACTGCAGTGTCAATGACTGCACAGGACTGGTGAAGGTGGCTTGGCTCAGCCTAGGGCAGAGACCTCATATGGGGTGGCCTTCCCCAAGTCACCTCACGCCCGTGGTCACCTCACCTGTGTGCCTTGTGTAGTCACCTCACGCAGGGTCACAAGTGAGGCCTCCAAACCAAGCTGCCTTTGTCTTCCACAGCAAGACGGCACTGCTGGAGGGCCTGGAGGTGGACCAGTACATGCTGGGCATCCTGATTTACATCCAGAAGTAAGCGGCTCCCTCCTGCCTCCGCCCCCACCCTGGCATCTGTGGCCACCAGGGGCTGGCCTGGTGTCTTGAGGGAGACAGGCCAGAAGGCGCCCCACCAGGCAGGGTGATGACCCACTGCCCTCGTCTAGCAGCTCTGACTATGAGGAGATCACCATCGACCCCACGTGCAGCTGGAAGCCTGTGCCTGTGAAGCCCGATGTGCACATCAAGGAGGAGCCCGACGGGCCCGTGCTGAAGCGTTGCCGCACCGTGAGCCCCGCGCACGTGCTCATGCCCAGTGTGATGGAGATGATCGCGTCCCTGGGCCCCAGCAGTGTCCTCTTCGATCCCCTGCAGCCCCCGTCAGGCACTGCACCCAGCGACTACCCAGTCCAGGGTGAGTGCATCCCTGGCCTGGATACTTGGTGACCTGGGATGCATGCCTCGTCCTCTTGCTCAGAGAAGCATCAGAAGCCACACGGCTGGTTGTGAAATGCACTCAGGGGCCTCCTGGCAGGGATGCCTAGGGAGAGGACAGGCCCAGCCATGCCTGGGATATGGCTGTACTCTCCCACCGGGTTTGGAGTCCCCAGACTGAGTTCCATGGGCCAGCCCTGTCTGGGCATCCTTTGGGGACCCAGCTGCGTGTGTCTGTTGGGTCTCCCTCTTAGGGTTGTCCCCAGGCCCAGTGCCCTGGTGTTGATGAGAACTTTGGCCTCTTTGGCATTGTGGGGAGCGTTGCCCACCTCCCCACCACACCAGCCTCTCCTCTCAGGTTCCAGCTTCCTGGGGCCTGGGCCCTTTCCTGAGTCCTTCGCGCCCACTACACCCAGCACCCCGAGCCTCGTGGAGTTCACCCCAGGACCACCCCCCATCTCCTATCAGTCAGACATTCCCAGCAGCCTCCTGACTCCCGAGAAAACCGCTCCCTGCCTCCCGGGCCAGGTCAGTCCTCTTGTGGGGCTGGAGAATAGGCGGGGCGCCAAGGGAAAAGGAGCTGTTCTAACAAGTCCTCTCCTTCCTCAGATGACACCAGCAGGCCACCTGGACCCGGCTCACAATCCTGGGCCCCCGGGGCTGCACACATCCAACCTTGGGGGACCCCCTGGCCCCCAGCTGCACCACCCAAACCCTCCCCCAACATCCCGACCGCCCTTGGGCCAGGCGAGCTCGGGGCCCATCAGTGAATTAGCCTTCAATCCGGCCACAGGCGTGATGGGGCCCCCCAACATGCCCGGGCCAGGGGAGGCCCCAGAACCAGCTCTGGACGTGAGTACTGGACCCAGGGAGCAGTGGGGCACCGCTGGAGCTAGCATGTCCCTTGTCCCCCAGATCTACATGCTTTGTGGAAGGGAAGACACTGACCCAGGGAGCTGGCGGGGGCTTTTCCTGCCGGTTGGGGGCAGGGCATATGTGCTGGTATGCGACCTGCCATGGCAGTGGGACACCATGCTACACAGTGCAGAAGGACAGAGACACCTAGGACAGAGGCACTTGGCTCGGCTCTGTCCCTGCTCCCTAAAGCCTTGCAGGAAGGGCCAAGAAGGAACAGCCAGGCACAGGACATGGGCTGAGTCCACCACATTCATTAGCCCTGGGAGTAGCTTGGGGACCTGTGCACCTCCAGGGCTGTCCCCGGGCACCCTGGTTCGTATAACAGCATGTCAGGGCTGTTCCCGAGCTACACACCACCTCGCAACCCAGAACAGGCGTTGGCGTCACTGGAGCAAGGCTGCTTGGCATCCGAGGCCAGGGGTAGGCAGGGACAGGGCCTAGCCAGCTGGGGTGCCGGATCTCCTCGAAGCTGCTGACTCATTTGCTCTGTCCCCAGCTGCTCCCGGAGCTCACCAACCCTGATGAGCTGCTGTCCTACCTGGGCCCCCCCGACCTCCCCACTAACAGCAATGATGACCTGCTCTCCCTCTTCGAGAACAACTGACCCCGTGTGACCCCAGCCTGCAGAGGCACCCAGAGATGTCACCTTGGCTGACCCCAGCCCTGCAGGACACAGGCAGTCCACTCCGGGTCCCTCCACGCACTGGCCAGAGCACCCCACACTGGGTCCCAGGCCTAGGCCCCTGCCCGCCCCGCTGGATACCGAGTGTCCTGCCCTGCTTGCCCCACCCGCCTGCTCCCGGTCCACCCCATATCCCAGGAAGAGCCAGTGCCCACGGGACCACCCAGTGCCAGCGCCAGCCCAGCCAGTGTATGCCGTGGGCTCTAAAGCACAACGATGTACATAGTGTAGTGTGCCAGCCGCATGTCCCCCACCGTGTGGACCCTGGGCTCTGTCCCTTCCTCTGGGGACAGCTGGGGCGGCCAGTGAGGAGGGGACTCAGCTCCGTGAACAGAATCTCCAGTGGGCTGCTCTCCCACTCCCCCTTTTCTGTGAAAGTGAAGAATTAGCTGTGTTTTTTAACCACCTTGTTTCCGCCTGCGGCCCACACCCAGGTAACGGGAGGCTCCACTGCCTCTGCCAGTGCAGGGCCTGTTGTGTCTGCGTCTGTGCGATCTCTATTAAAGGACTCCCTCCTGGTGGGCCTAGCCATCCCTCCTTCATGCAGGGGGCTAGGGCCTCCCTGGGGGACCAGTCCCACCTGTGGGTGGTTCTGGGGGGTGCCTTTCGTGGAACTCTACTGTGCCTGGCCCAGCCCTGGTCCTCCCCACTCTGTGGTAAATTTCCTTCTCCCTGGAATTTTCCAAGTTGGCTTCAGCTGCAGGGCTGTTTTGCCAAGTATCCTAGACTTGCCTGAGAGACATTTGCCACCATGTCACCTTCCTGGGTATGCCCCAGGGCGGGGAGCAAGCTGTCCCTGGGGAGGCACCAACCCAACCAGGGGCCTGTCGGCCCAGCTCTGTCTCCCAGAGGGCTCTGCTGGCTGCCCTGGGAGGGCACACAGGTGCAACCTAGCCACATCTGGGGTATCAGGGCTGGTGAGCTCGTGCTGCCTGCAGGGGGTACCTGTCTCAGCCCAAGCTTGAGGGTTGGGAAGGAAGGAGGCACCCTAATTTCATGTTCCCTTAGAGACCTGAGTTGCCAGGGTTTTTGTTTTCAGTACCAGAAATCAAACTCAGGATCTCGTGCTGACCAGGCAGATGCTGTGCTGCTGAGCTATGTCCCCAGATCCAGGTTTTATCTTTTTTGAAATAGGTTCTTCATAGCCCAGGCTGGCCTTGAACCTTCATTGATCCTCCTGCCTCAGCCTCTCAAGTGCTGGGATTATAGTCCTGTGCTACCACTCCCAGTGCTAGTTCTGGGGTCCAGGGAGTAGACATGGAGAAAAGTAAGGGACCAGTAGCACACAGGCATCAGCAGAATGGGGTACATGGCCTCTGATCCCTGGCACTGATGTACCCCTTCCCATGAGGCCTGCAGAGGGGTCTTCAGTGGGGGGGCCTCCAAGCAGCCACATTTGTGATGGTACTCCTGTGCCTGGTGGTGCAAGCAGGGCACAGATACCAGCTGAGTGGAAGGGATGCACACGCTGCCCTGCAGCTCAGGGCCATTCTCACTGGCCGGCCAGGACAGGACAGTGACGGCCCTAGCACAGCTGTGTGTGCCAAGGGCCACCTAACTACACAGGAGCACCCTGGACCTCAATGCATACAGCACTGCACTGGCACTGGACATACAGGCCTCCGGGTCAGGACAGCTTATGCTGCATAAGAGACAAATCCCGATCATCTGGGATGGGACTAGGGATCCACAGCAGACAGCCACGGGAGCATTCACAAAGGTGGAAACTGACAACCATGAGGAGAGGGGGGGACAGTACTGAAGCACAGTACCTGCCTGGGAAGCCCATAGTCCTGAGGTCAGCACCTGGTTCAAAAAATAAACCAGTGAGCAGAGTGCAGTGGTGTATGCCTATAAGCCCAGTACTCAGGAGGCTGAGGCAGGAGGATTGCCCAGAGTTCGGGATCAGCCTGGGCCCCATAGTGAGTTCAAGGCCAGTTTGGGCTACATAGTAAGACCCTGTCTCTAATGCCTCTTTTTTTTTTTTTTTTTTTGTCTTTTTTCATTTTTATCGGTATGGGGATCAAACCCCCGACTGCCTGCTTGCAAGGCAGGTGCTTATGCCTCTGAGCTAAATCCCCAGCCCACCCTGTCTCTAATGAAAAAGAAAGTAAGACAAACCTAAAGCTAGTAAAAGAAAAAATAGGACAGTAGAAATAAAGGGGGGAAAATAAGAGAATTGATTTAAGAAATACTGGTTGTTAATGGGTTTTATTTTGGTTTTTTTTGAGACAAGGTTTTAGTATGTACCCCAGGCTGGCCTTGAACTCTGGGCAATGCTCCTGCCTCAGCATCCTGAGTGCTGGGATTACAGGCGTTTCGCCATCACAGTCACAGCTATTATGGGTCTTTTTTTTTTTTTTTTTTTTTTTTTTTTTTTTTTTTGATACCACGATCAAACGACCTCACACCTGTCAGGCAGGTGCTTATGCCACTGAGCCAAATCCCCAGCCTTATGGGCTGGTTTTTAGCAGGCTATGCAAGTGGCTATGCAAGTGGGAGTGTGTTACATGTGCACACCTGTGTGCTTGCCCAAGCCCAGTATCCCTGGCGACCTCACCAGCCTCTTGTGGACCTTGTGTGGGTCTCGGACCCTACAGCCCTTTGAGCTTACTAACCCTCAATGCTCGGAATTGACTTCGACTCATCCTGAAGCTGTCCCTGTTTCAGGTGTGGCCTGAGAAGGTTCAGAGGCCCCTTCCCAGCCACCTCTCGGGCCTGGGCCTCCCACTCAGATCCTCATGGCCAGGGCTCTGGGTTCCAGTGACAGCAACAGACTCCAGCCAACTTCCCATAGAAGGAGCTGGAAACAGCCTCCTCCCCAGGGCACTCGGGCAGCCAGGCCGGGCAGGGCCCCTGAAGCAGGATGGCCTCTGCTGCCTGCTTCTCAGGTGGGAACCGGGGGCTTCTCAGCCTCCCTTAGGATGTCCTGGGTGGGGGCAGGTATAGTGGCACACGCCTGCCACCCCTGCACTGAGGCCAAAGCAGGGTGCTCTCAGTCCCAGGCAGGCCTGGGCCAAACTGAGCAAGAGCCTGGTGTTCAGAACAGACAGACCTCCCCGCCGGCCTGGGGCAGGCCCACAGGGTCCCGACATGTGCACCCTGCCCCTCTGCAGCCAGAACTCTGTGTCCACTTGGCTTCTGGTGATGGCATTAGTGGGTGTGGCCTTGCCTACAGGGGACCCTGGTCCAGCACTGCCCAAAAGAAACATGCCAGATGCCTGTGTGCTCCCCACCCTGGGCCCAGGGTTGCTGCCTTGGGAGAGTAAATGCTCATCTAAGATTTTTCAAAACAGCAACAGAGTCCCTCCTCCACTTCTTGCCGGTTTGGTGCTTTTTTGCAATACTGAACATTCACTCACCCAGTGATCCAGGGACTACGCCCTGGATATTTACCTAAATGCATTGAAAACAAGGTATGAGGGGCTGGGGATTTAGCTCTGCGGCATAAGTACCTGCCTTGCAAGCAGGCAGTAGGGAGTTCGATCCCTGGTACCGATAAAAATGAAAAAAGACAAAGAAATTAAAAAAAAAAAAAAGAAAACAAGGTGAGCATGAAAATGTCCACATGGAAGTTTACAGCCGAATTAATCATTGTGAAAATATCTGGAGGCTGAAGCAGAGGATCATTTGAGCACTTAAGTTTAAGACCATCCTAGGCAGTGTAGTGAGACCCTTGTCTTGAATGAAAAAAAAAAAAGGCCTGGGGTTTAGCTCTGGCATAAGTACCTCTCTGGCAAGCACGAGGTCGTGAGTTCGATCCCCAGCACAATAAATAAGTAAAGTCAAAATTGCTAAATTTGGAGGCAACTGAGATGTCTTTTGGAAGATGAGTGGATAAACTGCGCACATCCAGTCCTTGGGTTAGTCCGCTACAAAGATGAGCAGGCCAGTAAGGAGGAGATTTGGAGGACGCCCTGGTAATCCCAGCGCTTGGGAGGTTGAGGCAGGAGGATTTCTGAGTTCAAGGCCAGCTTGAAATGCAAAACAAGATTCTTTTCTGTTGTCTTTTTGAGGCAGGGTTTCACTATGTCCTTCAGGCTGGCCTTGAACTCACTGTGTAGTCCAGGCTGGCCTCAGACTCATGGTGATCAGCCTTCCGAATGCTCGGATTATCTAGGTGTGCACCATGATGCTTGGCACAAGACACTGTTTTAACAACCCTACACCACCCCCTAAAAATAAGTTCAAGCCCGACATGAGCTCAAAAAGTGCTATATATTGAGGCTGGGGATTTAGTTCAGCAGCATAAGCGCCTGCCTTGCAAGCAGGCAGTCGTGAGTTTGATCCCTGGTACTGGTAAAAACGAAAAAGACAAAAAAAAAAAAAAAAAAGTGCTATATAGCATGCAGTCCCTGGTATAAATGGGGGGCAGTTAGTCTTTTGCTGCTAAAATGCCCTGCCCATTCCATGAAGGCCTTCCGTCAGGGTTTATATCCAGATGTTCCCCAAGAGCCTCACCACTCACAGGTAGGGCTGCTGCCTTTTCGTTGCTTTCCAGATTTTTGCGCCAGGGTCCCCCATCTAGGTGACGCTGGCCTTGTGTTTGCTGCACAGTGATCACATGGTGAGATGGAGACCAGCTCAGATCACATGGCGGGATTCTTTGTCTCAAAGCCTCGGAATGATGGAGACTGAGGCAGCAAAGCGCTCTGCACAGAGACCGGAGCCCCCCGCAGGATTTGAGGCCGTCACACCACAGCTAGTAAGGCCACCACTTCCTGCAGTAGGCTGGTGGCAGTGGCCTGCACGGCCCTGCACATCAGCCTCAGCTGCGGCCTCAAAGCCCCTGCCCGCAAAGAACTGCTGCTGCCTAGCAATTGGGGTCCTTGGAGACACTGGCGCCGTCCCTTCCAGTTCCTCTGCTCTCTACGCCTGCGCCTGGGCCTGTGCCTAGGGACAGCCACAGCCCCAGGAGTGACTGCATAGCTCAGCCACTTCCCTGCAGTGCAGCTGCTGACTCCACAAGCCCTGTACTCAGTCTCCACCCCAGGGGAGGAAACCCAGGGCTCAGTGCAAGCCAATCAGGCGCTGTACTGATGAGCTGCAACTACACCCCCAATATATATAATAGAGGCTGGATCTGATAGACCAATCCCAATGCTATGGGAGGCTGAGGCAGGAGGATCCCAAGTTTGAGCCTAGCTTGGGCAATTTAGTAAATTATTGAGACCCACTAATTAAAAAGGGCCAGGAATGTAGTTCAGTGTGAAGGCCCTGCCACCCGTAGGTATGGCAACCAAGAGGTATGGCAAACAATGAGTATTAATGAAACCTCCACAATGGTGATGGCATTTTTACACTTTTTTGAGACAGTTTCCTGTGTCCCCCATGTTGGCCTCGAAATCACGGTGCTCCTCTTGCTTCAGCCTCAGAGTGCTGGAATTAAAGGCGTGTACCACCATGCAGGCTAGCTGGTGGGAATGTTAATGGTGAAGTATCATGGGAAATCACAGTGAGGGTTCTCAAAATATAAATAGAATAACCCTAAGACCAGGTGTCCCTGTGGGCCGCTCTGC